TGTAAGTTTAAAATGAGGAAAGTTTGTTATTTAAATGACAGGATGGATAGTTGTAAGTTTAAAATGAGGAAAGTTTGTTATTTAAATGACAGGATGGATAGTTGATACTTTCGCAGTGGCTATCAAACTGTTGATTCTTTTGTCAGTGCAGATCAGTTTCAGTAGCAATGAAAACAAAAGTTACAAACATTCAGGTGAAGCCGTAAAAGCGTTATTAAAAACATAGAGTACAATATGTGATTGTCTGGAATATTTAAGGCAATAACCCCATTTAAAATATCGAAATACAAATGTAATAAAATAATATTGCTAATTCAAAGTATTATATGAATAATCAAATAGAAGAAAACATAAAAGGGAAAACAGGAACCAGAATTTCAAATATTAAATTATTTTGGCATGCAATATTAAAATGTTCATTTATATTTTTGCATATTTTGTATTTCAAATAATAAGTTTATTAAACTATAATCAATTGCCAATAACATCTAATTAATCGTTTTAATTACAGAGGTTTGAAAAACACGGGACAATTCATTGTGGAACCTTATAAATCAATAATTTTAAGACGTCATTTATTAAGAACAATGTTGTTGTTGTTGTAACGGTTATCTAGTCCCCGCTTGGATGATAAGTAATAGTTTGGTTGTCGTCGAGGTAATCTAACGGAAGGCCTAAGAAACAAGCTGTTTCGATGGGGTCGGACCATAGAGAAAAGGGTGTTAGATGAGCTGGGATTATTGGGCATGCAAAGAGGTGGTTAGTATCATGCGGAGACTCATTGCACGCAGGACATATGTTTGGAATGTCAGGGTCTATTCTGGATAAGTAGGAGTTAAAACCAAGAATTGCCAAGAGTAGTAAATATTGACTGAACAAAATATTCGAAATAAGAATTTACATTGAGAAATAATTTGACCATACATACATACACAAGTTTTCTCATTTATCAGGAAGCAGTAAACATGAGTTAAAGGTTTTTTTGTTTTAGGTATTAAAATAATAAAAAATAAAACCGTGCTTAGAACAGAAAAGCAAACTCGATTGCAATTTTATCGAATATCGACAATCAGTCATGAGTCACATCACTAACCAAGCATGGAAAGGAAATTCAAGAACAAAGCAGAGGCACGGAAATTCCGTGACGGAATGTTTATATGAGTAGTCACACCTGGTTTTAAGGAATTGCTAGTCAGTTAGATGTATTTGTGTTATATTCAGAAACAAAAATGGCGATCCCGTATTTAAGTATTAAAAATAAATCATATGCAAAAAGACTGTATGCATGTTAGAAGGGCATTGCCACATCGGAACCGTAGACATACTTATGCCTAAAACGTGTTTTTTTAATTATGTATGAACAAATATTTTACAGATATCATAATTTTTTAATCAAAAAAATTCAAATATCCGCCAGCAAAAATAAAAGCAAGACCTCTTATAATTTTTAGGGGATGTACTTAGGCTATTTAAAAATGTCTTACGTTTTCGCGAATACTATTATATATACTAAAACTGAACTAAATGAATCAAAGTTTATAAGATTTAAATCTATCATGCTTAATTTGAACGTTCAGTTTAGCTGTAACTTTCTCCTTTGTCAGCTCTAAACAAGAGCACGTAAAAATAAAAAACGAAAACCGAACAGATGCTTTTTTTTACATCATCGCATCATTCAGAAGTGTGTTCGGACAATTACTATGAGTCACTTTTAACTAATACTATTATAGAAGTATCGTTTACAAGTGCTAACATGGACGTCACCTCCACAAAAATCATTACGGAAACTTCCAGTAGAGGTTGCTTACTTTCAACGTGCGTTAGTTTCGTCTTTGATTATGAAGCCATAAAATCGCTAATAACGCAAAAAAGAATAATGTATATATGAAAAAAACAATACTAGTATAAATATTAATTTAAATCGTTGCCTCCCATAAGCAACTCTTCTTCATACCCAATCAAGAGCAAATGAAGGTAATCGATATTCACACTCCAAAGTTCACACCCAATGTCGACATATCTATATATATATATGAAGATTGAATGGAGCTCAATATACATAAAATGAGAAGTAAACCTTTAATATAATTAAATAATTGATTTTGTAATACTTCAGCTACGTATACTACTTTTGATACGTGAATATGAATCCCCAAATTCCAATTTAAACGGAAGTTCACTAACCACGTGTATTATACCCAAAATTAAAGCCCTTCGGATTAAGCAAAATCATCACATATTCTCCCCTTTTTGTACCATTATTCAATTAAAAAGTAATTAAGCCAATCTAAACTTACCTTAATTGTATTTTTCTTAAAAATGCACTCAAATTATTTAATCGCAATGTGTTACTTCACTTTTACCTACAGTTTTTTCTCGTGTTTAACGCGTCCGACTAGACACACACTTTTTCGAGGAATGGCGGTAGCGCGCTACTTCCAACACATTTATAAATTATCGATGACAAATATTCTAGCACGTTCTTTACAGTGTTGCTTTTTTACTGGAAAGGGAAACAATTGGAATTATGCTGGTTTCAGTAAGATTTATGAGTAATTTGTTGACCTTTGCATATAAACCTTTAAATTACTTTCTAGAATTTAAATGAAGTTTATTCTATAGAAATAAAACAAAAAAATCTATAAAGTAAATATAAAAAATAGAAATTCAGTGTTTGGAAATTTCTAAATACTAGGTTACACTTGCTGGAATTTTGGACAATTGACGGCGTTCAGACACAGAGCAGCTCGTGTTAGCGAAACCCGTTCCATTTTGGTTCATTTAAACAGTAAGCAAGACTTTGCTTGAAATTATAAAGGATATTTATTAAATGTATAGTTTAGGTCCCCCAACGCATGTGGCCGCGAAAATTATAATTGTTTTTTTAAATCGTCTTAGCGAAATATCGAAAATTATTATTTGCAGCTCGCTTTGTTGAATGGTACCATCGATGTGAACACTTGATAACAAAGCGTTGCCACCTAAAAAAATTCTAAGATATTTCTTATTTACAGCTGTTTGTCAAACTCATTGTAGCATTAGAAAATAAAAAATCATAATACAAAATCACTTCTCATAATTATTCAAAAATGTCTAAAATAATAGTTGATCAACTGACACATGCACAAAAGGTGCGTATTTTATATAAAACAATCTTACGTTTACACAGAGGTAAGACTGATTAACGTCCTATAGTGATATTACTTAATCTATCTACTACTTCGTAAGTGCAGGTTTACCAGAGGAACTGCGGGAATTGGGTGATAAGTATGCTCGTGATGAATTTCGGCGTCATCTTACTTGCTCACCTATGGAGGCACAACTATTTATAACGGAATGGGCGGTAAAAACTTTTATTTATTTAAGTTGTTAAAAGCTGCATTTAGACTTTTCGTCTTACAGAAGTACGCAGTTACAATTACTTCACAATTGGGACTGAAAGGCAAAGCAACAGCTGCGATAGGAGACCAATTGGACACAAGCACTGTAGAAATGCTTAAAGACGACCAAGTGATACAATTGTATGAGCTAATGTTGGTTGCTAAGGGCATTGAAGGTGATACAATTACACATACAGACATAAATCACGCTAAATAAACATTAAGAGCTTTTATTTACTCCCTTTTTCGTTTCTCCAATATTTTATATTCATATTGTACGCCTCCCTCTTTTTGTATTCCCATTGGTATTTTTTCTTGATCCAATTTCAATTCTTGAAAATCAGCTGGAATCTCGGGGAAGAATGTATCACACTCAAATTGTTGAAGGATCTTTGTTAAATATATTCTGTTACACCGTGGCGAAAGTATGGCCTCTTTGTACACTCCACTGCCACCAACAATCCAGACTGTTTCTATTTGTTGACTTAAATCGAATTGTTCTAAACGTTGCATTGCCGATTCCAAGTTGGGATAAAGCAACACGTTTTCTGGTAGGTCTGTGGTCTTGAGCGTTGTACTTAATACTACATTAAGCCGATCAAACAGAGGACGCTTATCTTCAGGGATAGCAAAATAAGTTTTTCGTCCCATTATGACAACATTCTGTTTTTTTGGATCAAAACATCGTCTTGTAGTAGATGAAAAGTATTTGAGCTCAGACCTGTTTCATATAAAAAATTATAGCCAGGCGTAATAAAAATATATACAGTAATACCTTAGACGCCATGGTAGTTCACCTTTCACACCAATACCGAAATTTTCACTAATAGCAGCGATTAAATTAAATTTAAGCACTTCCATTGCTAATTTAACAATAGCCGCCAAATTTCGAGGTCCAATGTCATCATGTAGTAAAAATTAATATATATCGATCAAGGGACTTTTTTGATCGATATAGACAATAATCGTTATTAATTACCCATAAAGCCACCTATCGGTTAAACTAACGGTTAATTACCCAAAAGCGCGACTATTGCCCGTTTTCGCAATGTCTGGTTAACCGCTTAACCAGAACTTTACCGGCAACATGTTGAAAAATGGTTTTCTCAATATCTGGCTACCAACCCTTTGTCAGTTAAGTTCTGGTAAACTATACCGAAAGAAGGAGTCCTGGTTAGTTTCTAACTAGAACATGAAATGGCAGCTGTCAGCTGTAAAATCTATAAGCATAGACGGAGTTCAGGCGGGGATTCTTTTGTCTCTCATTATCATTATTTATTAAGCATACGTGCATTCATATACGCATATGGTATTATATACAAAAAAAGTGTTATAACATAAAGATATCCGAGCACAATGTAAATATTTCTCTGAAACCGAGCGCTGTTTCAATCAGAAAAGGAATTTTAAAATTAAAAGGAATTCCGAATTGCGTAGCGCGTAGCAATTTTTAGCAAGCTTTTGTAGTTTGTCTTCGGAAAATTGTCTTTTGGTGCTGCCTATTTCATTCACACGATTTACATAATTCCAGCAACTCAAGCCGGACTATTTTCTGCATTACTTTTCATATCACATTCCAAAAGTCTTGTATGCTGCATCTTTAGGGTTCATGAAAATATTTTTAATTAGTTAATTTTAATCCTTATTCATCTTTTTTTCAAAATATATCTATTACATACGAAATATAGATGATAAAATTCAAACTTCCGATCTTATGTATATATTTATTTGAAACCGAGCTCAATTTCAACAAGCAACTTGGTGTCCATCGTCTTTTTTCGTCGACGCTTCCTCAATAATAAGCAGTTTGGACGACAAAAGTCTTTGTCCGTTCTCCCGACAGTCGGATCTATGTGATTAAAACGGACCAGGATTTTTATCCGGCCAAGGGCTGTCAATTCGGCAGAATTCTGCCTTTACAACAACAAAAGTCTTCGTGTGTGAACCCAGTCTAAGCAATGATTTATCCAATTGCGAATTTCTTTAAGAAGAAGAATACACAACTCTGAATACACAACTATAAAGTTTCAATTTTTTCAATACATTAATATAAATATTTACTTTCGGATATAATTCTATAAACATGACGAGTCGGGACGTAGACCAACAGAGATGCCGTACTTGTTTAGATACCACGGATGAAAACTTTCATTCCTTGGACGGTAAACTCGTGAAGGATAATCAACGGAAGACACTGGCAGGCTTTCTACGGGATACATGCAAATTGGAGGTATGTCTATGAAATAGGGACCCCAACGAAGGAGGCCAAAAATAATATTTTTTTTTCATCAATCATGTTACTTTGACGCGAAGATTACAAATCCATGAGTGGAAAGTCGATTTTGACAATAATTCTATTTCGAAATCATTTCGGTATGTAAAAGAATTGTGAAAAACCCAGGGTTACTTTTGAAGCGCGGCCGAAGGCCGCCAGCGCACAAAGGAGATGGAAACTTTAGTATACTATCACGACATTCTTTCTACATATTTAATTTAATCCTCTTTCCAATCCATACCCCTTTAAACCCTGAAATCGTGGGATGGTATTCTAAAGCCGACCCGAAAGGAGTTCGAAGCGAGTGAATTATGAAGACACCCCGGTGTTGGGTCGACCAGGGCTATTTTTTTTGAAGTGCGGACAAAGGCCGCTAGTGCGGAAAGGCGTTCGACGGTCTCCTCTATTCGTCCATACCATCAAAATGCGGCACAAAAGAAATCGTAATCGTGTCTGTTACATTTCTTCAGTATTTTCCTCTCACAAGAAAATGTCTTACTTGTTGAACTTGTAATTACAGCTAAGTGATCTGAATTCTTCCGCTGCAACAACAACAACAACGGATTTGTAATCTTCGCGTCAAAATAAGATGATTTAAAAAAAATCATTTTTGAGGCCTCCTTTGTTAGGGGCCCTTTTCTATAGCAAAATTTCCTTAAAAGACAATATTGCTATAATTTAAAACATTTTCCTAATGCAAGTAGAATAATTCGGAAGCTGCAAAAAGTTTACCACAACAAATTTGCGGCAATTGCTTGCGTAAATTAAAAATTACGTTTTCATTTGTAATGCAAGTGGAGGAGGTGAATAGAAAAATGATGGATAACCTTCGTACTAAAAATATAATAGGCCAAAAATCCATAACCATTCCAGAAGAATATTTCGAGGAGTCAAATAAAATGGATGTCGATAATCATAGCGTCTGTCAGCCTCAGGAGTGTTTCATTGATTGTAACAATTCATTAGCACAATTTCAGGAAGGTATATCACTATATTATGACAATCGTTTGTTTTTAATAAAAACGAGTTCCTTTAAGATCCGATTGCAATTTCGAAAGATAATAATAGGAAAATAATGATGGATAACTCAATCCCAGCAAAAATAGGAGGTAAATAATATTTACTTCAACTTATAGAATAATAGCTTATTAAAATAATGTTTACCTTAAAAGATGACGTCGAAAATAGGAAACACTCAATATTTTGTAAAAATGACTGCCACAAAGGTAATTAAATAATATTTAACAGTGATGTATGTATTTGTGATAAGTACATTTAATGTAATCAGCAGAAATGAAGTCCATGCTCCAAGATTTGATGAATATGCAGAAACAAATGAATGCCAGCTTCAACGATGTTAGGATATATACCGAAAGAAAAGTGAGATTATACAAAGTTTTTTCTATGCAATTGATATCTTAATACTATCTACTCTATGTATAATTTTTAGATCTCAAATCAGCTGGGTAAATCAGCGCAAACAATAACTGATATTAAGCGCATCGCCACAGTGAGAAGTTGGTTTCCAATAACAACTATCGAACAAGCGCTGGAAGTAGAGGATAAAATTAAAAATCATGGTTATGGTAGAGATTTTGTAAGAATATGAAAAGTTTGGTTGATATTTGTTGAAATGTCCTCTCTTTGATTGGCTTTTACAGACTACTTATTTAAAAAGGAATCAAGACAGCACAGTTGATGATGTTTTACGTAGTATATTCAAAGATGAACTAATATATCAATATAATCTAGATGGACGTTCTGGAAAGATGTCTATCCTTAGTCTTGATTCAATATTAAAATATGTTCAAAGTAAGTAGTTTTTTTTAAAATTAATTGATAAGAAAAGTGAAAATATTTTTTATAGGCGCATTTTCAGATTTATCAGAAAAAAAGTTTTTTAAATTACTTCGTAGATACATTTTACTTTGTCATAATAGACTTAGTCAAAAGAAGTATTTGTTAAGGAAAAAACAAACTTTTGCGAATGCGGTGAAACACCATGAAATTGGTTTGGAAAATGTCGTAAGATATATTTGTAGTATGTTGATTGAATTAAATTTCAAATATCATACATTTTAGATATATGTATGCGATGAAAGTCCGGATATGAAAAATACAGTGGAAATGGAATTTGATAATGAAACGTAAATTAATTATAATGTGAAGAAATTATAATAAGCCTTATGTAGTTAACACATTTTGAACATATTATAATAATCTATTAATTTGATTTTATTCAAGCGAACAATTTTCTAGTGGAAATTTTGAGAACTCAAACTCGCCACGAAATGTATACAATGGAAGCCTGGATTTTAAGCAATGTACTAACCCCAAAAGAACGAGTATTTCTAGTGAAGAAATGAAGACACATAGAGGTATATTCAAATGAATAAATATAGTCGTTAGGTTACTTACTTATATTTATATGTGTTTATTTTTTAGAAACATATATTGACAGTAATGCCAGTGAGGAGAGCTACATCGTCAAGGTAAAAACAAACAACACAATTAGAATGGTCAATATATTTTTCTGTCTGCGATTTGTATCAGTTATTTTTTTCTTAGCTGCCAAAGAAATCAGGATCTCACCAGCAGCAACGAATTGGAAATGCTGAAAAAGGAAAAATTTCTGAAATTTGCAAATTGTTTCCCATACAAACGCAATCCCAATTAATAGAAATTGAAGAAAATATTATGGATACAAATTACGCCGATGAAATAGTATGTATTATGGAAATTAAATTTTGCTTCTCCTTAGTAACATGTCTCCTACTTTCACAATCAGTGTGAATATTTCCAGAGATTAAAAGGCAACGATGGCAATGTAGACAACGTTCTACGTAAAGTTTTTACGGACGATTTAATTGCTGACTATAATTTTGCTGGGCTGCAGGGAAAGCATTGTCTTCGTGACTTGCATCTTATTTCTGATTGCCTATTTAGTAAGTGCGATTTTTAAATATGAATATTGAGTATTAAAGATACCTCACATACTCATACACATGCATTCATATGAAAGTCAATTTTCCTTTTTAGACGCATTTTGTGAAATTACCAGTATGCAGTTTTTGAAAGAAGTGCGAAAATATGTGTTTAAGAGTCACAACAGGACAAAAAACAATCGTAGAAACGCAAAAAGGAGCTTATTGCCTATGTCATAGCAGCTACTAGTTTTGGGAAAATTTAATTAAAAAGCATTACATCCACGAGTATATTCGTATGGCTATTATTTTATGTCCAGAAGATAAACTTATATAAACTTATATAAATATAAACATATATTTATTTTTAATAAAGGAAAAAAGAAAAAATATAAACATTGTTCGTGAACAACGGGGCTGGGAGGGTGGTGTGCTAATTATTTTCATTTGATAACCTGTAACAAGCGAGAAGCTTTTGACCTTGTATACAATTGATTAACTGCGATACATAAACGTTGTACAAAAAGATATCGGCATTTTAAATTAATATCGATGATTAGCACGATAGTTATCGGTTATCTATAGAAGGAGCATTATCTATTGTAAGCTTTTGTACAATCAGTATTATTGCTTACTTATCATTCTTCTTTTTGTGCAATTATAGAGTTCTTTTTTATTAAAGAATTTTCCGATCTCTAGTATTCTAGTGTTTTATGAAATATATAAGTAATGGTCTCATATCAATGTCGAACTTGTCGCGAGGATAATGAAGGCCGTTACTATTCTCTTGAAGAACTGTTGGATTATGATCGTCACCCTAAGAAAACTCTAGCAGATTTCCTATGGGACATTGCTAAAATTAATGTATCTACTCTAGAATTAAGTGATTATAAATACACTAACAAACTATTATTCATATTTAGAATACCACTGAAGTTGCTAAACGTTTACCACAGCATATTTGTGGAGAGTGCTCACGCAAGCTTAAAAATGCGTATTCATTTGTACTACAAGTGCAAGCAGCAAATAAAAAATTACAGGCTAGTTTGTACATCGAAAATGCTAAAACTTTTACTGCTAAAAAACTGCCAGATAAGCAGAATGATTGTTTATTGGAATCGCCCATTGACATACCCATAAGAAAAACAGAAATTAAAAAGGAAGACCAGTTCGAGCAGGGAGGTGAAAAAGACGAGCAAGGAGATGAAGACAATGAAGAATTCATTAACATCGGTAAAAATGAATGTGAAATCGTCAAAAGTGTAGACGAAATAGTCCAGTTTGTAAAAGAAGAAGTGGTCGCGAATGTAAATGCAGAAAAAAATGATACCAAGAGCAATAGTACAGGTAAAACATTTATTTTTTGTATAATTTTATCTAAACAATACAAAACCAAAGTGAAAGGTGACATGGACACAGATCCCATAACTACAGTAGAAACTAGTTGGTATAAAGAAATAGCCGATAGTGATGGCATAGAAAATCCGGGTAATTTATACAACAGCTTGAGGTAGTATTTTTAGATATGATAAATATTTTTTTTATATCTAATGAGGATATTAATGCATTTATTTCAGTGAGGATAATTCAGACACCCCATTATTGAAGCGACGGCGGCTTGGGCAGTTATCCACTCAGACCTTCGAATGTACATTTCGTGCGGATGATGGTCGGTATCATTGCAATAAATGTTCCAAAAGTTTTGCATGGAAGAAAGATGCAAAACGGCATTCGATGTTACATTCCAATATCTATCCATATAAATGCACAGAATGCTACCGTCTCTTCCAGAGAAAGGATAAACTTGATAAACATATACAAATACATTCTACACGAGAACAAAAAATTCTGAATAAAAGGAAAGTTCATTCCAGAAGAGTTTCCGGTAATATTGCTAGAGTTATCTATTAACTAAATTTACTTAAATGTATTATTTTTGCTTTCCTTGAAGAAATGGAATTAGATTTAAGTTTGCAACATGATACAAAAGATAGTGAAACTAGTGATGATGACAGTGAACAAGATGAACCGTAAATATAAATATATGTATACTACAAAAATATATACATAATTTTCTAATTTTTCTATTTTGGTAATAGCTTAACTAAACAACGTAGGACTAGGCGGCCATCTTCCAAAAAACCGGAATTTACGTATTGCAATGACGATTCTCGGTATCATTGTAACAGATGTAATAAAGATTTTGCTTGGAAAAAAGATGTAGAACGTCACATAAAAAGTCATTTCGGCATTTTTCCATTCGAATGCATCAAATGTCATCATCGCTTTCAGCGAAAAGATAAGTTTGCTGAACACTTGAAGATTCATGCAAAATGCGAGAAAAGCGTTCGCCGCCCTCGACCAATACAGTGGAATTTTGCGGAACACCTTTATACGGAGCAGCGTTTGCTTTCGGTAGAGTGCAAACTTTGCCCTGAGGTTATACCAAACATTAAAACTCTACGTCAACATATGCAAACCCATAATGAGGCCCATACGCTACGTTTAGACGCTGAAAGTGACGTGATTAAAGAATTATTTCCCAATTTTAATGGTGACATAATAAAAATTAAGGAGAAAATTTGCAAAGACATAAGGCATAAACTTTTTGCGAAGTATTACGCAATTGTTAATGCGTATGGCTATGAAATGGCTTTGAGTGATTCTGATTCAGAAAATTTTTCGGCTGTGGAGAAGTACGAATGCGAATTATGTCACGTAAAGTTGGGACGAAAATATCAGCTATTTCAGCATTCGAAGTCGGAGCACTCCCAAGACAAACTTCCCCACAAATGCAACGTTTGCAAGTTGGAGTTTGTGAGCACAACAATGTTTGAGATACATTCACGCACACAATGCAGAAATAAGGATAGAAAATTTCAATGTCTCAAATGTCCGGGGAAATTTGTTTGGGTACAGAATCTTCAGGGTCATAAATGCTCCAATCGGCTAAATGTTTATGTACCGAAGCGTCCAGAACAGCGGAAAAGAAATTTATTGCAGTGCAATTTTTGTGATAAAACTTTTCGTTATGCTACGGACTTGAAACGACATCAAGAGACACATAACTTAAAGAGTCAATCTCATGTGTGCCCAATCTGTAGCCAACCTTTTTTGAAGGCGGAAAATTTGCGTCAACATTTGCGACAGGATCACGAACAAATTAAACGGCGTATCGAATGTTGCCTGTGTGGAGAAAAACTGAATACTCTCGCTGAGCTTCGGGCTCATTTGTCACGCCATTCGGATGGGTGGACTGGCATCAGATATACAGAGGGTCAATACTTTAAGATTCATTGGCCACAAGGTTGTCAAGGAAAAGAAGGAGAGGTCGAACGTAGCATTATAATTGATTTTGCTGGACAAAATTTAACAAACTATTATTCCGCTGTTGATGAGAGTGGTAATGAGTTGGATTTGTATGATTCAGAGAGCGATTTTGAAACGGACAAAATGCAAAATGGAAATCCTTTATCAGTACCCTATACGTGTGATTTGTGTGGTGAAGTTTTTTTCAGAAGAACACGCATCCTACAACATCAACATAGTGCACATGCTGATGGGGAAGACTCCTTCCCGCATGCTTGTTGTCGTTGTGAGAAACGTTTCGTTTGCTTGGGCTTATTGGAACAGCACTATAAACGCGATTGTGGCAATATCTATAAGCGATTCGATTGTCAACGATGTTCAGCACGATTTGTGTGGGAGGCAAACCTGCAACAGCATATGCAGCGACAACATATTGATCCAGAGCAACAAATAAGTCGACAACTTGCCAATAAACTACAATGTGATCAATGCAATAAAGTGTTTATTTGGCCAAAGGATCTAACGCGACACAAACGCATACATATGCCCGATGATGAGAAGTTTGAATGTCTCTATTGTGAACGAAAATTCTATCGAAAGGATCACTTGCAGACTCACTTGAAAGTGCATGGTGCCGGTGGGAGCATGGCCACGACAACAGCGGCTGCCAGCAAGCGTGAGCTAATTCGTAAAGTAAATGCTGTCGATCCGCATCTCTGCCGTCCGAACGGCTGCAAATGTGTCCAATGCAAAATCTGCTTATCCAAGCATACAAAAATTGCAGATTTGCGAACACATATCCTGGAACATCGAACAGATGTGTCGTTGTCGCAACATGTAACAACGAATTCGGAAATTTCTTTACTTTTTTATCCAGATGAAGCGCCTATGTCCAGGGATTTACTAATGGCGCGTATGATGGCTGATATTACAGCCGGTCAGATGGATCGATTTTATTCAATTACCAATGAATTGGGCCATGAGATAAGCATTAGCGGCTCCGATACAGACGATACTGATTCAGAGTCCGAACCTGATGAAGTATTGTATCTTGCTATGGGTCAAAATATCAGGCACCCAAGGCGTTCAATATATGGTTGCGATTTGTGTAGCATCACGTTTACGCGTAAGTATAAACTTTTTGCTCATCAAGCGAGCGATCATAATTGGGATGACGCTCCCCATGTATGTCAACATTGCCAGGCGCGCTTCTTGTGCGAGAAGCTATTGCAGTCGCATTATCGACACCAATGCAAGAACTTATTGAAACGTTACGTGTGTCGCAAATGTCCTCAACGCTTTATGTGGAAGGAGAATCTGAAAATGCATTTACGCACAATGCACCCTGACAGCGAAGAGGTTAAGAAGGTGTGATAAGTGGTGTTAATGTGGATATTATCATAAAATTAATAACTACATATATGTATATTTTAGTGTTTCGTACCTAGTTCATTCGATTGCGAGGAGTGCTCCAGAAGTTTTCAGATGCAGAAGGATCTCACACGCCACATGATGACACATCGAGTCGATGCTACTGTATTTCCATGTTTATGGTGTCCACGTAAATTTTACCGCAGAAGCAATTTATACTTGCACATCAAGAGGCATGGCATAACTTCACATCAGTTGAGTGCTGCCGCTTCTCACATCACAGCCAATAAAGGACCGAATGGCATAAAACAGATTTATTGTCGTGTTTGTAACATAAAATTCCAAAGTTTGGCTGCTCTACGCACTCATCTGCGGCATGAGACGTCAGCAGTGCCATCTTCACACCACAGTTACCATTCACAGCACAATTATTCAATAATGAATGAGTTAGGGTACGAGTTGGACGTTGACGATTCAGAGACAGACGAGGACGACAATGCTAAATCATATAAATGCCAAATGTGCGGATTAGTTTGTAAAAGACGATATGAAATGAGTCAGCATCAGTTGTCGGTGCATAAGCACGAGCATATAACACTTAAGTGTGATAAGTGTGTATTTAGAACAGTTACAAGTGTAAGTGTGGTGAATAATTTTTGAAACCTAGTTTGCAATGTTTTAAATTTTTTAGGATATTATGGATCATCATATGCGCACACAATGTAATAATAGTGAAAAACTGCACCAATGCACGCACTGTTCATATAAATTTATGTGGCCTGAGAATTTGGACGTGCACATCAAGCTGGTTCATCCAGAAGAAACACAAAAACCTGTTGAAGCTGCAAAAGATGTTGTGGCGTCCTCCCGCAGTGAGCCCGTACCGCTTCAAGAATTTCATTGCGATAAATGTGATAGCCGTTATAATCGCAAAGATCGCCTGATTGCACATACGAAAAAAATGCATCCGCTAGACGGTGATGTTCCCAGTTGCAGTATGAATGTCGCTGTCAAGATATCCAACGATGAAAAAAAGCAACCCAAAGAAAAGAAGTTTCTTTGTGCATTTTGTGGGCGTTCTGTGAGCTCCTCATCAAATTTGATTGTTCATATGCGACGTCACACAGGCGAGAAACCATTTCAGTGTGAATTTTGCGATAAAGCATTTCCACGCTCATCTGATTTGGCATGCCATCGGCGTACTCATACGGGGGAAAAACCCCATCGTTGCACAGTGTGTGACAAGTCGTTTTCACGCTCCTATAAATTGCATACGCACATGCGTATACATTCTGGCGAAAGGCCGTACAAGTGTTCATATTGCGAGAAAAGCTTCACACAATCTAATGATCTTGCTTTGCATGTACGTCGGCATACTGGGGAACGGCCGTACGTGTGCAATATTTGTGACGAGGGTTTTATTCAAGGAACTGCGTTGAAGAATCATCGTACATTGCGCGGACATTTTGAAAAAGAGGAAATTAAAGACGTTTCTGAGATGAAGGAACAACCGAACAGCATATTAGGATTGGATGAGCAGGGTAATAGTTTAATACAGTTGTAAATAAAACGTTTTTTATAAACGTGATTTCGCTGGGAGTAGATACAATTGGTGGTAGTTACGATATGTTTTCTTTATTCTATTCAACATTAATTATATACATAAGTACATACATACTTATTATATAATAAATTTAAATATATTGATATAGTATTAAAAATGTAAGAAAGGGTTTTTACTATATATCTTAATAATTTTTACTCATGGATCTGGGGTTTTTAGTTTTGCATCTTGATAACTAAAAGAGATCTGCTTGTTTAACTTAATTTGACCAATAATTAATCCAAGTCTACACTCGCAATTAAATAGCAAATATCTGTCTAAATGTCTGTAATTTTCCTTACATTGAACTTGCTATCTTAACATTTTATTTTCAACATGACTTTCAGCTCATCACTCCGTATTCGTGTATTTAATTAAAGAGTTGGAAAATTTAACTTTCAATATCAAGGCCTGTTTTATATAAAAGGCAATATATTAAAAATAGGTTTTGCCTTGATAGAAATATGGTTGTAAATAGAAAATATTTTTTTATTCAATGAATGATTGGTGTATTTTGCAACACTTGAATGGTAAACAAATAATTGTGAACCATAAAAAGTTAGAAGAAGCATTGTTTTCCCACCTTTCTCCTTTCAGAAAATTTTAAAAATATCGTTATATTTATTCGATTCATACGTATATTTCGATTAAGATTTCTTATATTTTTGTAAAATATATTGATTGGAGTACATATTACGCACACCTGTGATATGAGCAACAATGCTTACTCAGCCTCGGAGAGCGATGCTTCCGAATCCGCGGATAACACATTTTGCATATTTTTACATCTTGTTGAAGGTAAACTTTCCTGTGCTCACCAGTTTAATATCTGTTAAATTGTTATTATTGCCAGGAATTGGTCTTCATCGCCGTGATGGTGTAGGAGATTTCACAGAACGACACAAGGATAAGGTTATACTTACTGCGTCTTTAAATGGTGTAAAATTCGAAGTAGAGGGTCACTCTACAGAAACGGTGACCATCTTTAACAGCAATTGTATTTGGGAGTGTGAGCTCAGTGATATTAAACGGTGCGCCACTAGTAATAATAAATATATGTAATTGTTATCAAACTTCGTCCGTTTTTGTTATAGAATGAAAACAGATAATCGGCCAGTTAAACTGGAAATATTTATTAAAAGTGGTAGAACGGACACATCTCCACGTCGAGGAATTGGTTCATTGCTTTTACCAATTAGAGGGGTTCCAGTAATAGCGGCACTTAAGAACGTACAAGTAAAGCATATGCTGATATATAAATTCTATATTCTATGTTTTTTGCTTTTTTTTAGTTGAAACTACATTGGCATAAACTTAATGTACTAAGTTCAGAATGGCGGCAAAATAAACCGGAAATTTATTTGCTTTTAGTGATCGTAAAAAAGAATCTTATTGATAATGGGCAATTTGAAGTATTTTTGGGAAAGGTAGTAATTATAAAAAATGAATATTGCTATAATTGGATATTTAAGTGTTTTTCTGCAGAGGAAAGGTTTGCTTAATGAAGGAATTTCTCCGAAATCGTCTGAGACATCACTAATGTTGCAGTCACAAAGTAATGTATACGTACAGCTTCTGGAACAAGTAGGGCTTATCCAAGTGGGCAACAATCCTGATATGGATTGTGACATTTTCAATGTGACTTTAACATTTAAGCAAGTAAAGAATTTATTGAAAGTGCTGGAACTGGAAAAAAACTTCCAACGGCAAACTAGTACTTTTGTTTTCCATTATGACTTTTTAGGGAGCACTTCGCAACTGGAAATGGTAGCAAATCATTCTGATTGCTATACTATCAATGAAAAAGTGTCGCTGACATTTAAGTCGTCATTGAAGAGCCTACGATTATATTTTCAACGGATATTCTATATACCAATAAGCATTTATGTCAATAATACGGTTGTGGGTAAGTATATAGACATGGTGGCAATTTAGAGATTGTGTCGTTAAACTTGCATATACGCAAGCATATAATATATATATATGGTATTTTATATTGTTATTGTAGCAAACTTTCGGTTGGATTTTTCCAAATTATTACCAGAAGATTCCCATTTCAATACGAGCAAAGCCTTTACAAAAAGTGGTACCTTTTATTTCGACCGTATAAATAAAAGTGTTAGTCCTAGAATGTCGAAACCTTCGGTGGATTATATCTTTTACATGCAACTTGTGACAAGTTTTTCAAAAAAACTAAACCCAGAGCATGGGCCACTGACTGAGGCATACGCTTCGTATAAAATCGATGAAAAGGGAGCTGCTGAAATTACAGAGTGCTATCGAAATTTGGATTTTCCTAATACTTTTCAGCAAAAGCGCGCTCCTTATGACCCAGGCCAAATAAGTAGTCGCAATTTTACTAATTTCGAAATGTACGAACGTAATTATATGAAAATGCAAACTGACGCTTTTATAATTGGACGTGTTCTGGGGGAAAACACTGAACTATTTACTAAATCATCGGAAGATTTTTGCAGAAGCACTGACTCTTTGGCATGTCGGCTAAGTAGACCAATATTATCTAATTACCCCGGCAATGAACAGGTACAATCGCTGGAAAGCATTTCCAATATTGAAATTTCAAGGGCAAGCTACACGCCAATTAAGCCTCAAAATCGATCTATTGGTGTTAATACCGATCAGTTAGAGACTGATCCTGAGGAAATGACAATGAAAATAGTTAGAGAATTAGAGGAATGGAAAGCACAGCAAATGGAACACTTCATTAAAGGTTTGGAGCAAAAAGAGGTCGAATACTTAGCCGAACTTAATAAAGAATGGGAGCAGCAACGATCGATACTACAAGCTAGACTAGAAGCGAAGCTTTCCGATTGTGAGAGATTGAATGCAGAATTAGAACATGCACATTCTGAATTAAATTCTAATGCAATGAAGCATCAGGAGACAATTAGCATCGTAAAGACAGTAAAACAGGATATTGAAAAAAGTTATGCGGAGAAGTTTCATCAATTAGACCATGAGATGCAACGACTTAAGGACGAAATGCAGCAGCGTGCCAGAGAAAGTGCAGAACGTGAAATGGAACAAGCACAGAAAAAGTGTCTAGCGGCAGACGTGATTGGTTCAGAGACTGAGTCTGAAAAGCTGGAAATGAAGATGCGAATTGAGCAATTGGAAAAACAATTGACGGCTATGGAGAAAACTCATTTCTCAGCTGAACAACTGCAAGGCATGCTTGCAGATTTAGTAATCTATCTCAAATACGCTTATTCATTTAATAAACATTGACCAATAATTACATATGAATATTTGCAGCAAAAACAAACGGAACGTTTTGCAGCCATTGAGAAAGCCAAAGACTATTATAAAGCACAGTGGTCGAAGTCGGCGCGAGAACTGCATGCGTTGCAAATGACTTTGTTAAAACAGAAAAAGGAAGCATTGGAAGAAAAGAAAGATGTAGAATTTGAGTAAGTACTTTAAGTAAGAGATTTCCCCACATTAAGACACCTCTTTTAAGCACATTTTTGTTGTTTTTTATCATTTAGTATATGTTTGGAAGAAATTCTGGAAGAGGAACAAAATGCTTTGCATAGTGATCGTAACGAATTGAAGTATATCAAAGATATGCTTTATGATTCCTTGGAGTCTGCGTCACTTGATGATCTGCAAGTTGACTAAGATATGTCTATTACCATATTTTGTTTTTTGTTGTATAAACTGAACAAAATTTATCTGTGATAAACATACGTAAGCAATTTTATTGTAATTTGTGTATATACGGTGTAATTTTAATTTAATTTTTGCATAGAAAACAAAACATTGCCAATATTTTAATATAGTTCTATAAATATCATTGTTTAAATTTACGCATTTAGTTTCTTCAGAAATAATTTCTTTATATAATATTAAGAATAATTACTGCCTACAATTTAATTCTGGACGCGCACAAAGTACGGTAGAATGTCTAAAGGCGCACTGTATGCCATTAACCATTTAGGTCCTTTGTGTACATCATTGGTATTTCCGTCTTTCCATTGTCCTTTAGGCAAGTAGATATCGCGTTTAATAGCACCTTCTTGGACAACAGGTGCAGAAATGATGTCATCGCCAAGAAGAAATTCTGTAAAAAGTCGTTTGTTGTGTTTCTTAAATCATAGTAATATTAATAACAACTTACGATCATATACGCTTTGAGCAACCTTATCGCTTGGATCGGCCCACCAGAGAGGCAGATTTACGGGTTCACCTGTTTCCGTTGCTAGTTTGAAACGCTTAATAATTTCAGGTGCGAAATCTTCGTGCATTTTTACAAATTTTTTACTGATCTCAATAGCTTCGTCATCGAAATTCCATGGTACGTATGAAAATTGCAAGCTCGGCATGAAAACATTCGCTTGCAGCCAACGCAGAAATAGTTCTTTAGTTGGTGGTTTGTCATCGTATCCATTGCCGCCGATCATGTCGGGCAGAACGAACGGATATCCGTTCAAATTCATTTGCAATAATGTTGTTATGAGCGTTATTAAACCGTTATTCCAACCCCATTCAGAGTCCTTATCGACAATACGTACGAAAATAGGCACATCTTGTGTATTCTGACCGGCACGCACCTCCACTAGAGGACCGAAAGCACCTACGGTACGCACATAGTCGCGTGTCATTTGTGTTGGTGAGAGGCTTAAGTCTCCTTGCAGTACTGGATCTTGTGGCATCCAACTTGTCTCGCCTGCGTCGAATTTGAAACTGTCAATACCACCTTCTTCCTGCAACTTTTTCAAACGGTCGCTGAACCAAGTGCGCACTTCCGCTTTCGTAAAATCAACATAAGCAGCCTCATTCGCACCACTGTTCCACCACTGCGTATCGGGATTGCCATTATGATCCAGGATTAAGTAACTAAAAATCAAAACAACGTTTTATGGATAAATGTATGTCTGGTTTCAATTCCATCCAAGTTAAAAGGCTAATCAATCTAGTCAATCTTCCTTTGACAGTATACTTACCTATTGTTCAGAGATTCACTATAGATGGGTTCGCAGTTCTTATTGATGAACGGATGAATCCACAGCGTGACCCGGAAGCCTTTCAATTTTAAGTCATCTGTCAGATTCTTCATGTCGGGGAATTTCGATTTACGGAACGACAATGCACCATAGCAATCCTCCCAATCATCATCGATTTCGATTTGACTATTGTTGAAACCCTTATTTATGATTTCATCGGCGAACTCGCGCACAACGGACTCGTTTATATCTCTCTTATAAAGTGCCCAAGTCGACCAGATGGGAAGCGCCACCATGCGCTCATCCGGGTATTCAACGGGATGATTCAGGAACTTCTTCACTACATACATATGTGCATCTTTTGCATTACGTGCAACACCAATATGATAAATGAAAGTTACTCTTTCCATGCGTGTATTAAAAGGCAGTGCACTCAATGCGCTAAAACATAATCTATTCTCGTAACCAATGGAGTTCAGTTCGATAAAAAGCGGTGTATTTTCGTCGACGTAAAAGAATTCGCCCTTGGTATTAAGCCAATAACGTTCAGCAACGCCCATATTCTCCAGTTCTTTAGTCACATAGGAGAAATTCGTCAGCGTTTGCTTCTCTACGGGCCAGTAGTGATCTTTATATTCTGGACCACCATACCAATGCGTATTCGGTACATCCAGGTCGACACAATCAATTGGTTGTGTTCCAGCGGCTACGTTGCGTGAGACACGAATATGCACAATATTACCATTGTTGGCGATCAAATCAAAAGTAATGGTTGAGTCTGCGGTTTTAAGTGAATAAGAACCGGTATCTGTTAATTCCAGATTACTATCGCTAGAGGTGTTCTCCAACGAAATAGTTTGTAGTGTCTGGGAACCTAAGGACATTATTTATTATTTAGAATTTTCATTTTGAATATAACGGCAATATTACCTCTCATTACTTGATACTGAAGTGGTGCGGCGCGGACCAAACGTAAATAAATATCACTATTTGGGAACTTGAAACGTTGTTCCACAGATTGGCAAGAATTGATTTGTAGTGTATTTAGGCATAGTACAACTAAGGCACAAGTCACGTAAACACTTTTGTAGCCCATTTTGGCTGCTGTCACAGGTTACTTATATATGTGTATAATTAATTGCTTGCACTTTTTGCCTGCAGTCTTGGGAAAATATTTATTATTTAATTACTATTGTTGTATATTTGTATTGATACCGCTGCGCTGGTAGCCCGTTTGTGCACTGTGTTCGATTCTGTGATCAAACCGTATTTATAGGCGAAACGCTCTTTTAAGTTCCCACAATGAATTTCTACAGATATAGTGTGGTGCTTGTGTGCGAAACATTCTATTTGCTTTTTGATAAGATATTTTGCGTGCAAGTGATTTCGGAGATCTCGAGAAATAGTTTTTAACTACACCTATAAACAATACTCTTGAATTGTGTTAATTTCTGAGTGTTTCCTCTATGTTGGCTTTATCACCACCTACCAATACTCCAAAGCTGAATTAGAAGTGCATTTGAATGCTTGATAATGGGATTCCAATTTTTAAGAGATATTGATAGAGAGCTTTGTGAACATCAGATAGATATGTATACAGATGTATATTATATAAAATTGTTGTATCTCAAAAGTTTTTTAAACTCAATGCCATTTGAATTTAGATTTCCAGAATTTCGTGTAACAAATGGACACTTAGGCTATCTGAGGTTGTTAAATAAATGGTTGACTTAAGTTTTAAATTATTTGTAGTATTCATACTAACAAGAGATAGTAATCCTACCAACAATAATTCCATGTTCGAACGAGTAGGGTGCTAGAAACTAAAGAGCACTAACAAGCAATATTTTGAATTCGCACTAATTATCCCACAATATTACATACATATACCATATATAGGGTGCGTTGCGATTTTGTTCGAAGGCCGTAAGCCGAATTTATTTTTTCGGAGTTTAGAGAATATCTAACACAGTCAGCTTATAAAAACTAAACAAGTAAGCAAGGACTAAGTTCAGGTGTGACCGAACATTTCATACTCTTGCAACTTGCAAAGAACAAAGACGGAGGAACACCTTCAGATTGTGGGAAAACTTTATATCAAACTAAGGAAAGTATAAAGATACTGACTGTTATTAGAAAAGGATTCTTTCTGAATTTCATCAAGATTTCTTACATATTAACCGATAGATGCGGTATAAAGTTAACCAGAGGTTCGAAAATATTAATGTTGAGTATATGGGGGCTAAGGGAAATGTTGACCTGCTTTTACCCAATGTCGTCACAAGTTATAGTGCGATTTCGACCATTTTTGAACGTAAGATGAATTATCTTGAGTGCACTATTTGTGCAAAGTTTTATTCTGATAAATTTATTGATGTTTGATTTGTATAATGTAAAGTAAAAGAATTATGTGGGAATTAGGCGTGGTTGCCATCCGATTTCGCCCTATCGCGTCTAATAGAAATGTTTGGGTAATATCACACACCAAAATTGGTTGAAATCGGTCGAGCAGTTCCTAAAATAAAGGATTTCATTTATTTCATTTTTCAACTCGTCTCGTCATCCTGATTATTTATATATATATATAATTCGATATCTATCTCGATTAGTTTTAGGTGATACCGTTCACCGTTAGGTGAACAAAACTATTATACTCTGTAGCAATATGTTGCGAGAGTATAAAAACACTTTTCTCTACATTTTATTTATTTGTTTTTACGATTTTCGAGTGCAGAGCAATCACGTCAAATTATAAGTGTTCTGGTCAGTGATCAGCGCATGAATGACGTTCAGGGGCCACCAACGTACAAAACATTTTATCGTGTGCCTCAATCAATAGTGAAGTGTTTCTCACATTTGGCGCATGATAGTATTGTGTTGCCGATCTTGGAGAGTTGGCAGGGAAAGGGATTTTTGATGAAAACAACCAAAGAAAACAAATAAAACTACAAGATTCATTTTGTGGGACTTTCCTTTATGGTAAGTGGTAGGTCTCTACAATGTATACTGTATTTATAAGGCGTAATGCGGTTAGGCGCTTAAAGTAAATACAACATAGAGCAATTGGCGCATATTCGATATAGAGAAACGAAAGCATTACATGGATAGGTTATGCCTTAAGTTAAGATGTCTAGTAGCAAATTTGCGTAATTAAATTTTTTAATAATTTTTTCTTTATTTAATGTTTTCAAATTAAATTATCCTTCGTTTCTTCCTTTAGAAAGTAGATAGATTTGTGCTGTAAACTAAAATTAGTTCTAATCAAAGAGATCGAAGTGGCTCCGAAGTTTGTTTACTTGTATGATTATTTTTTATTTTAATGAATAACTAAAGATACATACATATACATACATGTACATTCGGATGTACAAATGCACACATTTATCTTATGGAGTGTTTTTATTGTTTTGCCGCTATTATAATATTCTTCCCTCTCACTAGAATTGTTTAATTACCGTCTTGAAACATGATTAGTTGACATTGATTTTGAGCTAATTATATTTCCGAGAGTATTTGTACGTGTTTCACATATTTAGTATCGCCTGCAAATGCGTGCTCCAGGCGTGCGCGATTCAATTTGGTTGTGATCATACCCGCTCCGATGTTTCTATTCTCTTCTTACACAGTTTAGTCTTGTTGTTCCTTAGTAAAGAAATTATATCTGCATACATATTTTGTGTTGCAAGTTCTTTTTATGTAACTGTACTATCGCAAACGAGTTAAAAATGGCAATACAGTGAGCATGGGCTTCAATCGGAATGTCAAAAAGTCATACGTATACATAACCAAGAAATCATTAGATACTCGCGCAATTTTTAATCAGTAGTTATGTAGACTATATGTATGTATGTCATACGCATGTGCTTTCATGGAGGTAGGAATTGAATAAGAAAAAAACACAAAAGCGTCACAAAAGCGTGAAAGTTTCGGCGAAAGCTTCAAAGTTGTAAAATTGCATGGTGGTTAAGCTCGGTGGTACATCACTCATTCCGTTCATTTTTTTAACAACTCTTCTTCTTCGTTTTATGACGAGCTCCCCGGATTTGTAAACAGTAGTATGTTGCTTGTTAGTATCTTTTTTTTTTAGCAAAATTAAGGTTATTCGTTCGAGGCTGGCCGCAGAGCCTCTGCTATGCATCGAATGCTAATAGGTGTTGGCAACATAAAGTTTCTGGCGAATCATTTGTTTGTGAAAAGTGGTAAAGTTCAAATTTATCAGATGGTATTTATGTAATTTAGTATTTATTAAACAAATATTTTAAAATTATACAATTTTATTTGGAAAATATAAAAATTACTAATCTTATAAATGTATTTTAATAGTTCCAACAATTTTGCAAATACTTGTTCTGTCCGTAATTACTAAGCTTATCTTAAAATATTACAAACCAAAAAGGGGGTTGGAAGCTCGGTATTCAACATCAATTTTACAAATTCAGTAATGAAAAGATAGTGTAGTCTAAATTATTATCTAGAAATGTTTATTCAAATGATATTTACATATCAAATAAGTTTTAAATGAGTCTTACTTAGGAGCTCTTGAATACCGTACTCTTATCTTTTATTGTAATCTTTTGTTCGTATTTAAATTTCATTAGTAGATGAAAGCGCATTGACAACTATTAAGAAAAACTACTCTACCAGTATTACCACAAACCCTACCTAAAATAAAAATATTACTTAATTTCTTACAGAGAAATAAAATTTAAATTAAAGAAAAAGCGGCAATATCACCACCTTTGCACATAGTTGTTCCATTAGAATGGATATAGCTAATTATGTTGCGTTGTATCAAAAAGTTCTACCTCTGAGTCGCTTATCTCTACGGCTTCAATAATTGTCGAAGCCAAATCAATTTCGATTGTCGATTCGTCACCAACGCAAGATGCCTGCTCATCTTGATAGACGCGCACTGTGCCGTGTATGTCCTGCTCCTCTTCATCATCAGCTTCGTCTCCATCCTCTTCGCCTTCGGTTAGCAGCGCTACACGATCATAGCTGACATTCGGTAGTGTGACTACATTTCTCGTTGTGCTATGGTTTCGCCAGATCGGTATGCGTAAATTGTTCCGGCGTGCTGCCGAAACCAAGATAATGACGAGAATGATGAGCAACGTTGGCACCATGATTAGCGTAAGATATACAATGCTCGTCGGATTCATAGCTTTATCATGCTCTACGCTGTCGACCGTTTCGACTTTGGCACTGAAGACGTCTTCGAGTCTATTACCTGAACTACGTTCGGCAAAGATGTAGCAAAATGTTTCATTTGTGCGAGGTATTTTACGCAATTGACTGCCAGGCGGACAGGTGCTGCATTGCGAATTTAGTGGTCCATAGCAGCGCTGACAGCTGTTGTCACATTTATCGCAGCGCCGCAAATGTATCGGCTCCAAGGGTTCACTGGTGTCGGCATATAAGCGCACAGCTTCTCGTCTGCGATCGATCGATTGTAATTCATCGTCGTCGGATATATTCGTCTTGGATATGATGTTGTCGCTTATTGTCGCCGTTCCGTTGGGCGTCGTGCTGTCGTTGAGGATGGCGTAGGTGTGTATGGGACATTGTTCGTAGCAGTGGCCATTGTAATAATATGTGGACGTGGTACATTCTATTGGCACGGATATAAGCGAGAGAGGAAGAGAGAAAATATTAGCGAATATTATATTATTATGTATAGGTGTGTGCGCATTTTGAATGTGAGTGTGATGTTTGAAAAGAAGAGTTTTCATTTAATACAAAAAACCAACGCTACCGAAACCAAATGCAAAATAAATACCAACACCAATTCCATAACAGTTACTTAAGCAGAAATTAATATACTTTTGCGAGCTTTTAACAAAAACGCATACATACAAGCAAGATACAACGATCTGCACAAATAAAAAAACGATCTCTGCAATAAAAATATATATATACTATTACAGCACAAAAAGTAAAATAATATCGTTCTATTAGGATAAGTTAGTTAGCATATTACTGTTTTAAATGGCCTGCCACTCATTTGGCACACTGGTTCAGTTGGTGTAAACAGATTGGGATCTTCTAATATGCGTCTGTTTATGGGTTTTTCACGGAAGAACGGTAGAAATAAGTGGACTAGTGGTCGAAAAAGATATTTTGAGACTCTTTTAGGCACTCAGCACTGCTAACTGCTTTTAAACAGAGCTCACGATTTTATAAAGTGCTGTTTCCCCGACAATCGAAGCCGGTTGACGTTTCTTAGAGTAGAAATATACCACATACCCTTTCTCGGTGTATCTTTTTTCTTCCTAGAAATGATCACAGAGTAAACATATACTCGCATGACGTTCTTTGACATTTTGTGAGGTAAGTTGAGAGACCATTGTTTATGTTGTAGACTTTTCGAATCCGGAATCGTTTCAAAACCATATTCCAATAAATTGTAACATACACGAAAATTTCGGTTTTATGGAGAAATAGAATTAAACAAGATAACAGAGTTCTTCGATACATTTGGTTTTCGCAACAGTTTATTGTTTAAAGACATGAGATTATGTTTAGTATAAAAGTATTAAATCTAAGGTACTACTTTGTCTACAAACTTTTGCTTTTATTGTTTGTATGTATGTACGTGCAAATAGGTATACTAACAATGCAAACAAAATAATTAAAATATTTCGCGAGAATACAAATTTCTTTAAAATGGAAACAACATTTTTAATAAACAAAAAAAAAACAATCAATACGGTAAAGTGCAGTATGCAAAAAAAAAAAACTTGACATACAAATATGTGTACATTTGTACAAATCTGAAAAATATCATTTATGTAAGCATGCTCAAGGAAATTGTAGGCAGGCTAAGGAACATATAAGTTAAAAGAAAACCACTTAACTTATATATGTGTATATAATTCCAAATAAATCCCACACATGAACTGCGTACATAAATTAAATTGAATTAAAAAGCGGTGTGTCCAAGCCATACTTAACATGTGAGCGCCTTAATTAATTTTAATTTTTCACAATTGTTTGTGAAGACAATGTTTTAACTTGCATGAATGAATGTACATATATAATTATGTACATATGTATATGCAGTTTTCATATTCTCCTATTCATGGAGCTTTTCTTATTACTTATTTGCGAATAAAATTTATTATTTTTAATGTTATGATTTAAATTAATTAGTGTTGCAATTTATGAATGCGCATTGTTAGCGAAAATAATAGTTATAACAAACAATATTTATGTGTTTATTTCATAGTGATAAAAAGAAATATTTGACTGAACTCACCTTTGACTATTTTGAATGATTTAGTTGTGTGTCATTTCGATTTGTAGTTTTGAAAGAGATAAAGTGGTATTTAGTAACGATTACTTTAGTATTATACAAAATGTGGGCTTAACGGTTTTCTTATTTATTCATTTGAATTCGATTACTATTGCGATTCTAAATTTTCTTGAAGCATTCCAACTCTACGCTCTACAAAAAGATTACTAATACACACAGAAACCATATGTGTTTAAAGTAAATCACAAGAGGACAACAGGACAACAGTCTACACAGTTTTTCCAGCCCTTAACAATACATGGTCTTATAGTTTATGAATCGTTTGTATAACATCGGTTGGTGTAATCACAAGTGGTGACTGATGACCCAACTAGACTCGCAAAAGGTCTATTGTGGCGTTCATTTCTTTATACGCCACGACCGTTCAAGTCCATGCATTTAATTCTTTGCCACAGCAAATGCTGGTATCAAAGCTGTGGACTGTTCGTCCTTGAGGAGTAAATAGCTTCAACTTTATCCTTGAATTTTTCAAAGATATCACTGCTTTAAAGCCCAAATCAAACTTATATCATTTAAATAATTTTAATCTTTACTAAATTTTTAAAGGAATTCAAAAAAATTTTATGATTTCGCCCTCTGCTTTGAAAAGTTCTTATGATTTGGAGTCTGGAAATATTGTCAGCTTTTTTTTGTTGGTGTGTATCGCTCTGCTCGTCGGTCTGCTATGTACCTGGTAAAATGCTTCTTCATATCTGTTTTGTACCAAATTTATGCTTTGTACGAAATAAAATACATGAATTTTGTGAAAACATATTTTATTCTTCGCATGGCTCTCATTTCCGATTTTCTTGCTTTTGTCTATGCAATTGTTTATTAATTTTTCAATTACTTTATCAATTACTTAAGACTGTAGCTACTGCATATTACATTTAAAGTTAAATTAATTTTTCGTTTTATATTTACACGTAATACATACATACATTTATGATTTTTATTATTTGTTGTTTTTTATTTACTTTGTTCTTTAATATAATTTATTGTATTTGTTGCTTCGCTATGTTTATTCTCGTTTCTGCTGCGGTAGTAATATGTTCTTGTTAGTTATTTATGTATACAATTTGTTTTTAATCTGTATATTTTTTCTTAAATACTAAATGCATATAATTTTATGGTATATTACATGTTTTTTGTTGTTAAATATGTATGTATGTGCTGACACCCATTTCATATGTTCTTGATTTACTTTCTTTGCCTACTGCTGGAGAGGAGAAAATAATGGATTCATTCACTTGCATTACATAATCGCATTTTGAGGCTTTTTTCCTTTGCTGATTTTCTCCTTACATACAAACATATCTATTCTGTGCCCTTCTATTGGCTTTAACATTGCAATTGGTCGTGTTTTTGTAAGCTCCCTATTCGCTCTTCGCTTTAGTTCCCTATTCGCCATTTTCTATTTAACTTGGATGCTATTTTATGTTTTGTTGTTTTCTCTATATTTATTTTTTTTTGGCTTTTGTTTTACTATTATATTATATTTCGCATCTGCTTGCTGCCGTTAGAGTACTATACATGCGTATGTACGTATGTAAGATATTTGCATAAGTCATAAGTACCGATGCCCCATAAAAGTTTATTTTAGCAATGGTTTAATATTATAAATTAACAAAATATAGCTTAAACAAAATCATAATAAAATGTTATTGCAAAAAAGTAACCAGATCACTACAATAACAATGATTCATAAGTGGTTAAATACGAAATCTACACAATTATACCAAAAACAAAATTTATATATGTATTTATATGTATTTACTATTAATATTTTAGGGAAATTTTAGTAACAAATTACTTAATATTTTTTTCCTATTTGTGCGTTATATTTGCCTGCAGCTTTTGTTAATTGGCTAACAAAAACAAAAAAAATTGCTAATTAACTATTAAAAAAAATTGAAATTGTGCTACTAATTTACTATTACTCAACGCTCTCCCACACGCGCATTTATATATTATATGTATGTACATATTTATGTATAACGGTTTTGTTATTTACTCATTTTGCTCGCCGATACATATTCTAATACTATATCATAAAGGGTGCAACAAAATGGAGCGCCATATTTTGAGTGGAATATTTACCACCGAATTTTTTGTGTTTTATTCATGGAAAAGCACGATGAAATAGTTTTGTATCTTGTTCATTTTACGAACAGTCGTATTTCAGATATTGTAAATATGGTACTCTATTTTGGCACTCACTATTAAAATGCATTTGGGTTTTTCTCAAGCTGTTACTTTGCTACGGTTTATTATCAGTATTTGTTTTTTGTTTTAAATTCTAAATAAATAACATTCATTTACTTAGTGTAGGCATGGTGGGTGTGGAGGTTCAACAAAAACAACAACAAAAAGGCAATAAACATTTAAAAAAGTTTAAAAAATGTAAAACTGGGCATAAAAGAGAGGATAATATTCAAAAAAATTAATATATATATGTATTGACATTTATTAATAACAAATCTGGACAATTTTGGGTTTAGCTAACAGTATTGCCAAATGTAAAAAATAGGAAAACGTTTGTATACAAGCTGCTTGACGTACCTATACAGATATCTTATTGCTTTCAAGAATGATATGTTAAAAGACAAGATTACGCCAACCGAAATAATTTGACGTCTTTCATATGGAATGGGAAGAGGAAGCCTGGAAAACTCTCAAATACTTGTAGTAGCATGCAAATTGTAAACAAAAACGTAAACACTTTTATAAATTTGTGCAATTAACTTAATTTATTAGTTTTTGGTGAAACCATTTTAGTGAAATGAATGGAATAATGTTACAGGAAAATATTTGAATAATTTTTACAAAAATACTTTCATCCATTGACAACATAATTACCAAATAAGTGAATGATTAAAAGGGATTGTGATTGCGATGTATCTAGTGTAGGTTATTTTATTGTCACAGTCTAAACCGAAAAAACTAACTTTAAATACTTGTCATAATCTTGTCTTCTATCATTCTTGATTGCCTTCAATAAAACTAAAAGTTCTAAAAATAAATTTTGCATCAGAAATTTAGTGGAGGTTTTTAAGCTGAAAGGGCAAATGTTTTGCGGTTAATTCTTTGCATATACATATGTATGTATGTATAAATAAAATAATATGTACTTTCGGCTTGCAAAGTTGACTGTTATTATCTATTTAATACCGTTATTTAAAGAGTAGTATGAAATATACTTTAACAACATTTTAAACATTCTAAATTGCTAACCATATAGCCCTTTCAGCTTTATAAATTATCCTCATACATATGTACATGTGCAAGTACAAGTATGTATATAATATTATATGCATGTGGTTATGACGAGCGTTTATTGCATTTAAATATTCGTGTACATATGTATGTGTATTTGTAGTAAACATAATTAACAGTTATTTCATTATTTATAATATTGCACTCAAGTTACTTTGATTATCAAGGAATTGTACATATTTATTGATAGAAAAAATATTAAACTTAATATTCAAATAGTTTACAATAATCATACAATTTTAACCAATATTAAATAAAAAAATTATTGAAAAAAATGGCAAGCAAATTGAATAATGTTATCCAAAGTAAATAAAAAACAAAATGAGAAAATATTGTCCATATGTGGTAGAATTGGGGTTCATCTCACATTCAGCCAATAATTCTGAGTTTAACTTCTTTTATATGAGAAAACTGATCTTTGACAGCGCTGAATACTCTACCTATGATTAAGTAACTAACTCGTCAGGAGTCAGAAGTAGCCTCGTACTATTATAGAATCTGCTGCCTGAAAGTGATTGGAATTTGAAGTTGAAAGCGCTCTATATATATTGTGAATTCCCCAAAACTTTTAATATACTATTTATATTTTTAAAAGAAAATACAGCTCGTTTGTTCAGATTCTACATTTATACGATTCTATAGAATTTGGATTATTTGAGGCTTTATGCACTATTTTACTAAGCAATCAGAACTATTGATTAAAGTGTTCAATTTACACATAAATACAGTTTGGTATTGTATTTTTACGTACGTAAAACGTTTTTTTTTGATATGTAAAAAATATAATTATAGTATGTTCAATAGATTGTTTATAAAATTAATTGTATTGTGCATTTCAAATTTTCAATTTTAATTGCAAATTCGTAAATTTATTTAGCATACGATATGGAAATTATTGTTCAAAACTTTCTTGCGCTCTGTGATGCTTAGATTTTTGCTCCAAAAAGAAAACATTTGAATAGTTCTAATGTCATAAATATATAATATTATATGAAACTTTCATTAGTCGGAACATATTCAATATGTTATTTGTTAATTTTACTTTATATGTTACAGCAGCGCTTTGTTTACGTTAATATCATTTATTTCTAATTTCTTATAGTTTCTTGATCCTTAAAAATGTTTGCTCTTTGAAACGCAGGAACTTTTTGCTTACATAAATTTTGTATATTAGTTTTTTATGCGCATTTTTGCATTGCGATCTGATTTTTAATTTAATACTAAACCTATTCTGTTTTATTTACCTTTGTATATTAACCTAATACGATATATTATATTATATATTTGGCCAACATTTTAGGCTGAAAATCCTACCACCTTTTTTGTGCTTAAACTATAAAGATTTGTGGTGAGCTTTTTTTTAATTATAAAAAATACGAAAGCTTAAATTTAAAAAAATATCTAAGGCTGAGCACAGTAGAAGGCTTTGCAAAAAGCATACATAAGAATGGCATAATGATTAATTGCTGTCTTCACTCGTTGCTTTTCCTTGTTGCTTCGTGTCGCGCCCTAATCTGCGCTTAGCCTTATATAATATATGCGGGGTAAATTGGAGTGGACCATGGTAGCTCTATTGTCAGCGACACATAATTCGATTTATAAATAAATATTTATGCATCTGTTTTGGAGAAGATATGCTTCACTCCATATTTAGTTCGCTTTTTCCACTTTAAAGTTATTGGAATTTCTTCTTTATTTAAAGTGCAAAATGTAATAAATGCGAAAACTGAAACTTTTCTACTCTGTTGCAGTTTTTGTTAGTGTTGAATTTAATTATGTTTTTTTTTTAAATTAAATTTGTTTAATACAACCTAGATTATGTGTATATCCTTGCAAGCATTTTTTAATAATTCATTTCAAATAATTTAAAATTTGAAAAAATTTTAGTAAGTCTGATCACTTTTCAGAAAAAGTTTAGCGAAAGTTTTAATAAAATGTGCTTCTATATATTTTCCTAAAAAAATATGCACTCATAATCCAAATAATTGCTTTCCCGTTTGCACTAAAACTATTAATCTTTCATGCATTGAGAGTAAAGTTTATATTGCGGTTGCAGCAACAAGGTTACAAAAACAGTTGCTTTTCATAGAATTTAAGTTTGTAAAAAATATTCTTCAGATGTGCGTGAAAGCATAAAATATACGAAATTATTAACTTTTAAAAAATACAAGTATTTTGCGGAAAAATGAAGAGAAATGCTTGCAAGCAAAAATAATTGATTTGCACATTTTTTTCCTTTTGATTTTCCGATGACAAGCGAATGTATTTGTTTTTGTTGCTCTAGGGTGGGTGCTTTAAATTCGAACTAAAAAACAAAAGTGGCAACAAAGGTTAATTGATGGCTGTTAAAAAGCAAGTGGATATATAATATATAATATATGCCGTATGTGTTCATAAAATAAAAGTACCATAGCGATGACTCTGACTTCAATTGGCTGTCATCCGCTGGATAAATGACACATGCCACATACATGTAGGCAAGTAAATACAATGCAACAAATTCATGAAAATTTTATTCGATGTAAGGGTTGGTAAGTTGGGAGTGCAATTTGGTGAATTGCGCGGTGTTGTTGTCCGCTTCACGTTTAATAAGTTGGCCCTTTTGACAATTTATAATATTGTGCATGTATAAAAATTACAAAAAAGTGCTACACACATACATACAAATACGTCTACGTATTTATGCAAACATTAAATGGAGCGCAAAATGCATTTTGGCAGGTTTTTCTTAAATTAAAAAATATTGGGAAACTTTTATAAGTAATGCTTGTTTTCCGTGTTTATTACTAAATACACAAGACATTTATTGTTTAGCAGTGTGCAGCGGGAAGACTTGGAAATTTTCAATTACTTATTATTTTTCGAAAAGCAAGTATTTTTAATGTCTAAATTTGTTTTTGTTTTCCTACAACTAACTACAATTTTGACAAGAATATGAAAAAACCCACACACACGCAAGTACACTCTGTTATTAAAAAACGCAATTCTTCTTCGATATTCACGATATTCATTCCATATTTTTAAATAAAAGCTAGATTTTTTACCACTTTTATTTTCAATATTCATAACAGAGTTCGAAAATATTATTATTTTATATTTCTTGCATCGGAGCGATATGAATTCTAATGAAGTTTGTGTATGTGAGCACATTTTGAAGAAAGACAATAGAAATACAACTTAAAATTCTGGTTGTACTTGTATTTATAAACATGTAAGTGGCTAAAATTTACAATTTGAAAACCCTAAATATCATTTTTTTACTTTCGAATTTCTTATAGATTTAGTAAAAGCCATCACTTCCAGCGTAAATGCGAATATATTTAACCTACGCGGCAAGTTTAGTAATTTTTAGAGCATTAAAGTTTTGAATACCCAGTGTAACACTCCCTAATTTTAGTAGTTTCAAAAAAAGTGGGTATTTCATTATTTGCCGCTTTTCAGTTTTGCCGTTAATTTATGAGTTATATATAATTTTGCCTCGTCTAAAGTATACTACTTAAACAACCTGTCGGTGTGTTTAACGATTTTCGCATTTCTTATTTAATTTTTCTAAATATCAAATTTTTGAACTTCTCGAAAAAAAATCCCGTGTAATAAAAAATTGTTACCTTAGAGTTTTGCTTAAGTATATTCTTGGGTTAATGTTCTTTTATTAGCTACAACCCGACCTAACCTAACAAGTTTTACATCTATGTAGTTTGGTTATGATTTCACTTTTCATTTTGCTTCATTTAATCTACACAGCACTTTGAAGTTTATTATTGAAATAAATGTAAATATTATATTTTTACAAGAAAATTTTTAGAAGAGGAAAACTTACACGCACTTTACAAACATACATCTTATCTTTTAAGCTTACTGTATTTTTAGTAATATTTTTATTTTAAGTATTTTTTGTGTTTTTGTAACTAGCTTTTTGTCTAAGCTTCAATCTCAATATAAAATTTTTGAAAAAATGTGTTTGTTTTAGAAAACTCTTGCGCGGCTTACTCAATTTGTCTTGTAGTCTACTTATCATTATTGCGAATTTTAATTTGTTTTTTATATTTCTTTTTGCTTTTTACTTTATACATTTTTTGCATATTCATAGTTTTAGTTATTGTTATTGTTCTAACAACTGTATCTATCTATTGCCATTTTTGTTATTGCTATTGTTGTTGTTGTTGCAGTTGAAGTTTAATAGTAATTGTGTTAATAAAATGATAATTAAACACAAACCTAAACATCTTTGGTCGGATGTCGCCTTCAGACACGACGCATTCGTCTTATCATTGGACATCACACTCGATTCACCGACCTGCAAATAAAGTTATAAGAATAAATTTAGTATTAAGCCTATATACCATATATGGTTTAACTTGCTGCACAAATAAAATAGTAAGACGACATTCAAGAAGACTATGATACATACATGAGAACTGTATGCTCAATTATATATGTAAATACATATATTTTTTTATACTATACATATGTAAATATTATGTGATGTGAAAAGATTTGAATTTTTACAAAAACTACATCGAGAAATGGTGTAGATGCCTGCAAACGAAATTGCAAACCAAAATCCTCCTTCAGCTACCTTATTCCGTTGATTTGACTTTCCGCCCTCTCAGTGACTTGTCGTGAGTCAATTGAAACCATAAAATTTAATTAAATAATTAATTAGCATAAGTTCGCCACGGCAAAGGCCGATTAAAAATGTATGGAAAGTTGCACTGTAGATGGTTTTACTCAAATATTTAATGAGGTATCCGCATACTCTCTTGTATGAATTCAACTCGATAACTTTTTTGTTGCTGTTATATGTAACTTTTGACAAGGAAGCAGAAGCGAGCAGAAAAATGGCGTATATAAGACAGCTATAATAGTAAAACTAAGCAAATGTGTGCTGGAACATAAAAACGAAAAGTACATTAAAATGGTGTGGACTTTAAACCGTTTTTTATTTAATGGCATAAGAAGGTAACGTACGGCGTAAAAATACTCGGTTCATGTAAGTGGCAAAGTTCAAGGGCATGGCCCCACATAGATAGGTATTTAGGCATATATGTATAAGTGTAATTGGATTTGGAAACTTCGGATCTTCGGGTTGCCTTGGTTGGCAACTATTTAAAACGCTACAAAACCAGAAAAACCGAAGAATAACTTCAAGTAATCGTGGAGACTTAAAAAGTGAAAAATATGTGCCAGAGAATGCCAAAAAAGCGAAGCAGCTATGAACTGTAGCAATGCAAAGCGCCGTGAGGAAATTTGTAGGGAAAGCGGCAAATAAAAATTGCAACATTGTTATTCTTATATATATGTATAAATGTACTTTTGTTGTTTTCACTTTAGAGCACTGAAATGACTCAGCGCGGTCACTTTGCTGGGAGCTTTGACCAAACGTGTAAGTGTGTGTTTTCCCAGCGTTGCAGTGGAATGTGTTTTGCCGCAAAGCAGACATTTTGGTGTACGTACCAATTCGTATACATATAAATGCCTGCTCGGCATGCCACGGAATGTTGCATGTTGCCGTGCTGTCTGCCACAAGCGATGGCATGACCAATGGCGCGCATTTTTCGGCTAGCTGCCTTTGCAGGGGCTGTCTGCGTGACTCAAACCTACAAAGTGGCCTAACTGTCTGCAATATAATGGCGTTCTGTTTGCCCACTGGTTTGTCCAGTCCCGTTCGCGAGTGCATTGCTTTTAGACGCCAACAAGTGTCATACATGCAACTCCTAAATACACTCGTAAATTTAAAAGATCTCAAGGGTCTTAGCTGCATAGCCGCAGCGCATAATGTATTTGCTTTTACTACGGCTTTGCTTTGCTAACTTGTGTGCACACATACCGACCCACAAATACACAGTCGTAAATGTTTATCATTTATTTATTTATTTGTGCATTCCGAATGCAACAACTGTGGCAACTATCACGAGTGTGTCCTGCCAACTTGTGGTGGCAAGCTGTTGCCTTTACTCTGGACGCCATTCAATTTATTTGCTTTATTTATATACGTACGTACATACATACCGTATGTCTATTCTCTATTTGCCGCCTTTTGCCCATTAATGAAACGCAAAAATTGCAACCAGCAGGGCACGCATGCACATATACCATATATAAGTTTGAAAAAGCGAAATATAACGAAGATTGGTTAATAGCTGTGGAAGGGTTGTCGAGAGAGATAGTAATGCTAGCGGCCGTGGCAACAAGCGCAAAGGCAGCGCCCAATTGCAGACGAATTGGCGGCAGCAGGTTATTCAACTTTTAGTTTATTATATATTTTCAACTTTGTTGTGATATCTATATGAATGTTTTTGTTTCCATTAACTTTTTCGAAGCCAAGTGCTTTGTCTCGGTTTGGTTGGTAAGCTCAGTTTAAGAAACAAGAGTGGAAACAAAATGTCCTTGCGCACACCAAATATTTTCCCTACTAACATTTTAATGTTTATTTTTAAGTTTGTTGCACTCGCCTCCCCACTAATTGGAGTGCGGGTTGTGAACCTCAGGTTTACATTGATTTGAAAGGACAGTCGGTAGAGCAGGTATAGTATGTATGAATTTCGCTATCAAATTCGTTTTGTTCTCTAACGGTACTCGTAATATCCCATAACATGTGGTCGTAGAAAAAAAACATATATATTTAATCAAAGATCTAGCACTTTTGGCTGCTTTTATTACGATTATTTGTCCTATATAATTAGGCGTTTTCGTCTGCACTCTTCCTGCAACTGTCTAAAGCTTGTGAGAAGTTAAAATGCGCACAGACACAGTAGAAGCTAAGAAGTGGCTAGCACAGGACGTGAAGAGGTGAGAAAGAAGGGGCAATACGTAATCTACTTTTGGCACTTCGACTGGTGTTAAGTGAGATAATTGAGCGCTGCTATAAGGAATATTTGCATATCAGTCCCTATGCCTTGGTTGCTTGTGTTGTTTCCAATTTCATGCGACTAACTTTCTAATTTTCAGAAATTTCGACGTGGATTTGCAGGGCAATCGATGAACTAAATTAATTTCACCTTAAATAATGTTGAATGAGGCTTTCTGAGGACTAGAATGAAAAAGTATTATGTGTCACAGCATTCCATAATATTTAAAACACTTATCTTTTTTGTTTCTCAAGTTAAGAACAATCTGCCTGGCGAACAAAGTTGATCAGAAATTGGTTTCTTAGAATGTGACCTGACCATTAAAATTCAATAAGTCTTATTATATGCTCTTTGTTCACACGAGTAATAGCGAATCCAGTTGGCTTAGAGAGAATTATTCTGCTGGCGATAAAAAGTGTACACACTTCCTTACTTATTTTCAACAAATTTAATTGATTTGATTTCAGCTTTTTTAGTGCTTCATTTATTTTCGTTATCATTATATTTTTTTGTTTCTGCTGCAGCTAAGCAAAAAGCGTCATCAACTAACCAGCAACGACAGGCATTAATTCAACCAACTAAACCAGATCTGCTGGCAGAGTAAAGAACCACAAACGCCAGCGCCGGTTTATGGGAGCAACTCAAATGCAGGGCACATGGACTCGTTCGTGTATGGCAGCTCACTGAACTGGATGAGCAAAAGTGGGTTTGGCGGTCGAATGAGCGAGCGATATTGGCAAATTGCCCGCTGGCAATGTTGTCAGTACATCACAGCGAGTTGGAATTGCCAAAAATGAATTCAATGCAGATTTCTGAAAATCGCCTTTCAAACTAATATACAAGTACTATGCAGAGAAGAGAAGGCATATATGTATGCATATTGGGGTGGACCTGTTTTTGAATAGTAGGAAGGTGTTCTATATATTGTGCTAGTCAGCATCAGAACTTCAAAATTATGATTAACAAAAACGAATTGTTTTTTACGATTTTATATTGCTTCTCATCATATAATTTTGGGATCCCAAACTATGTATTTGTATATAATAGTTGGATCATAATAGAGTTGGAAAGTACCACCCATATGCATTTGCACAAAGAAATAAATAATAATTTTGAAAAAACGGAAACAGCGATCTAAAGATCATCTACAAATAATAACCTAAGAAGGCATTCATGTATATCGTACTTACGAAAAGTGGACAACCCTAATATTAAATTTTGTATTCCTGTTTATGTAATGATTTCTTGCAGCGCTCGATTGGTGGTCTGCTGGCGATGAAATTGCAAAAGCAGCATCATTACCGATATCAACCAATATTGTTGGCCTGCGGACATATGTGCAACTAACCTGCATACATACAAACATAAAAGGGTAACAGCTATGTGGATGCTGGCAGAAAGGGTAAGGTAAATTGGCGTAAAGCTCAAATTGCGATGCACCTAATTTATGCGGGTTTTCACATAATTAGAGTTACTTTCTCCTCAGTGGACAAAAAAATGCAATGATTCTTCGCATCACTAATGAGGCTTTAAAAAGCCATAAATACCAGGTGTACTGGTATGACGTGAGCGTTAAGATACAAATGTGTTGGTAGGGAACATTTGTTGTGAAAGGGCCTTAATTTTTTTCTGGGACACGCATTGGCTGAGCAGCACTTCGATTTCTACGCAGAAGTCGAAAATTGGGTGTCTGATTGGTTTGCTTCAAAAGACGAACATTACTATTGGCATGGTATCCATAAATTGCCAAAAAGGTGGTCAACATGTGTAAAAAGCAATGGTCAACACTTTGAAAACATTTATTTTCTTTTCCATTCAATATTAGTATAATATTTCATTTTCACAAAACAATGTACATACTTATTTCAAACCGGTAAAATAATTCACAGATATTTATTAACTGCAAATCTTTCACATTTTGCCGGTGAAATGGTACGGAAAATCTTCACTGCCCTATGCAAATTGAAGCAGAAGTCAGTCAGCGGCTCGGTTGCTCCATTGCCAAGTGCATTTATTCAAATTGAATGGAAATTTTAAAAATTCATAAACCTCACTGCCTCACTGACAACGATTGCAGAAGGACAAGAACTGTAATTTACTCCAACACAACAACATTTACATATATGGTAGGCTCCCCTTCCTAATTGGCAACGTACATTTTCCTCCGCCCAAAAGATGGAATGGCAATAACTTGCGGTGTCTCGAGTCGTGTCGCTTCCACCTTTTTCTTGGTGCTGTTATTTGCAACTCACAACAAGCTGCGCGCAAAGCTCTGAGCAAACATCTACATGCACATATGTACATTGGAACGAACTCGTATGTCGGCTGGTATCGAGAGGCCACATTGAAATTCTATGCAGTCGAAGACCAAGCAAGGCTTGGCCTTTGCCTCTATCATGTTAATTTCTGTGAGTGCTGTTTTTACAATAAACTTGCAACAACAACACACATACGGTGACCACTGTGTGTGTGTGTGTATGTTTACCGTAATTGCACAACGCTTGTTATGCATATCCAACATGCCAGAAGCAGAAGCTAGTCCGAGCATGCCGTTAAGAATGCAAGTTGTAACTGGCCACAAGAATATTTTCTCAGCAAGGGCTTTAAAGTTTAGAGACAATTAATAAAGTGTTTTAACTTTCACATTTTCGGGAATAATAAACAAAAATTATACTTTCCTGACAAACTTTTAATTTCCATGGATTACGACCCTTTTAAAGGGGATAAAGAACTGTTCAGTTCAGAGGTTAAAGCATTGGCCGTGGACTTTTCGGCTCGCAGATGTATATGTTATGTATGGTACATTGTTAAGGCAGCTTATGTAGTCTTAATATTAGCTGGGTACTTGATTTCTCTTTTCCTTTTTATTGCAATAAAATACGCAAATTTTCTCAATTCATTTGATTTGACTTAAGCTACTCTAATATTTGGGAAGAGATGTTTGTGCGTAATACATACGATTTCTATAATTTCATTGTTCAGGGTATATTAAGTTTGCTACGAAGTTTGTAACACCCAGAACGAGACACTATAAAATATATACATAAATGATCAGCATGATGAGCTGAGCAAACTAGTCCCTCAGTTTTTAAGCTATCGATCTTGTCCTTTTCTCTCTAAGAAGCTGCTCATTTGTCGGAACGACCGATATCGGACCACTACGATGATCAGAATAAAGTGTTTGGTGAAAGCTTTTTCATTTGACGAGGTATCTTCACGAAATTAGGCACGAGTTATAGCATATAGCTGCCATACTAATTTAACGATCGAAATCAAGTTCTTGTAAATAGCCTTTGTATTTGTGAAGGGTATTATAGCTTCGGTGCAACCGAAGTTAACGTTTTTTCTTGTTTTTATTTATTAATATTTTTATTTTATTTTTACCTTGAGGTTTCACACTGTCTCCGTGAATATACTATACATACTAAACTTAGGAATGTAGCTAGAGCCAGCTGAATTATGTTACAAATCAAATGGCGTTATAAGAAAGATCTACTCTGTCGATATTATACAGTATGCTATATAATAAACACGACGATTGAGATATCATAATTTTCCTGCCTCTCAGAGAGACTTGTTATTTCGTTATAGTGTCAGTAGAAAGTAATAAAAACAGAAAGAGTTAAATTGAAAGAATACTGAAGTAGTAGCTTGACGAAGGATTTCAGTACTAAACTGCCCTCCTGTAAAGGGTGTCACAATGATTATTATGTAACTAAGAAAGTGGCCTCGTTTTGATGAAATGAAGTGCATTTATTTATGTTTGGATCAAAGTGTTAAATATAAACAGATTTCCTCAAACATTTTGAACTAAAGTGCAAATATAATAAATGTAATCACCCTGAATGGATATATCTATCTACATGTAATTATACAATTGCAATGAATAATTACCTGCTGCATATTTCGCCATTGCAGATTGGCATCGTACTCGATGTCGTTGTGGGCCATATCATTGCCAAATAGACCATCACTAATATGGACCGCGTCTTCCGGTTGGGCGGGTGTTTCTGTGCCATAGAAAATCAAGTCCCATTGTGTGATTTGCGCTATAAAGGGAACAATGCAAATTAATGTTCAATAGAAGTTTGTAAAAATATTACGCATAAATAGACGATAATAGGGGAGCTAAGAAAATGCAGCTAAACTAAGTATGCATGTGCAGACGTTTATAAAATATCAATACAGGTAGCAAGAATTTCTTCTACGAAAATTATGGTTTTAATAAAAGAAATAGCAAAATACGAAATTTATTCGAGCTTAAACGTGATTAGGTCTAAGTGGGGGTGTGTTTGGGTATTAGAAAATAAACATGCATTGTAATTGTTCAATATGTTGCCATTGACTTTCAATTTCGAGCAAAGCGTAGAAACTTAGCATGCAAAAGGAACATGAGAATGTGGAACAAAACGGAGTACATGAATATCTGTGCAATCATTGCTTAAAGAACCAATTGCAGTACAAAGTCCTCATATTTGCCAAATAACATGGGCTAAGTTTAAAGGTGAATGCATCGCCATGCCTCGCAGAATATATTTGCGTATATATGTATGTATATTTATGCAATACATGTTCCAAGAGAAAGTGTAGACTGAAACTCATGCATTTTTTAAATACATGAAAGTTCAAAATTTACGGCGCCGACTAGAGTTGGAGAGCCAATTGCAATCGCTCGAGCGTTTGAACAAGAGCCTTTAAGTATAATAGTAAAATACTTGCAGACAATTATGAATGAAAAATTTACAACTTCAGCTCAACAACTCAAAAAGTCACAAGTATCTCTTAAATCCAAAAATGGCGAACTGCGAAAACATTCAACAAGAGCAGCTGCTCTTAGTCCCGTGTCACTATCCGGCAGTTTGATTGATTGCTATCGCGTACGAATGTCTGTAGCACTTAGTCCAATTGCAAGGCCGAAATCTGCTACCATCGGCCATAACAGTAGAAATGGTTGGCAATAAGCGAAAAAATCGGGATATCGATCTGCCTTAGAGTCTTTGATTGATGACCCACACACGTACTCATATACAAGTGGTGTCAGCGTCAGTTGGAAAACGAACGGATTTAAGAATTTTTCACCCATTTGCATACCAACAATGTGGCGCGTATATTAGCTGGCTGCAGGTGACGTTTCCTTTGTGTGCAGTGACTTTTATGGCTCTCAAATTGAGTGGAATTTACAGCTTGATAAACGAGTTTACTCGCGTAAGTCACTATTAATAGATCAATTAAATTTTTTAAAAGGAATTCTTAATTAAGGCAATATTCCAATGTTGAAATTTTTTCCAATGTTTTTGTCCGTATACAAATTGGAATGGTAGTTGATCAGAAACTGTAATAATAATTTTAACCGCTAATTAATAGAGATAAGCGCTGTGGGAGCAGAAAGTTTGATCTCTTACTACCTAGCTCTTATGACCTAGTTTTTAAGGATGACAATAATGTTTATTGCGCTGACTAAATCTCTATAAAATTAAGTACTTTGAAACAAAAACTTAAAAAATTGCAACAGAAAATTAATCGCTAATACGCATCGCACTAATATGCCAAAGAAAAAACGAAATGAAAACGTTAAACATTCCGTGAACATGTTTGACTACCATTGCTACTGCCACCATCCTTGCGGTTGGGCAACACGCCGATTACACCGCCAATGGGGCGCTGCGTGCCGCCACTAACTCCTGCTGCCGCGAGTAGTAATTGCTGCTTTTTGATGATCTGCTGATCGGGCACAAAACTGGGCGAGGACTTTTTGGCATTTTCACGTGACGGCTTCGAAGCGCTGCCACTGTTGTTGTTTTTGTTATTGTTTACACTGTCGCTGCTGCCACTATTAACCGCACTCAACATTGGTCTGAAGGTCTCCGCTTCATAGTCCAGCGGCGAAATGCCTGCAGTGGCAGCCAGTTTGCGTTTTTCAGCTTTCGATGCTGCAGCGGCTGCTGCAGCAGCCGCAGTGTCCTTCTCTTTTGGGCCCTGATATGGTTGAAACTCGGGAAAGATTGCCTGTATTTTCTCGTAATGTTCGAAAAGTTTCGGAATGCGCGTATCAGTGAATGAGGCAACCGTGAGTTTTTCGTGCGTTTGCAAGGGTAACAGTGACTCCTTGATTTGTTTTGTTGCCTTGACAGGTAACTTTGAATAGCTGGTCATTTGCGTGGCTGCAGTTTTGGCTGCATTGTTGGCGATGGCTGGGTTAGAGTCAGTCTTAGAGCTTGCCGAGTTGGATTTGATGGGAGTTTTACCGTTTTGACTGTTGTTGCTTGGGCGCATACCAGTACTGGTTGTAGTTGTTGTAGTCGATGTTATTTCACCAACAACCTTCCGGCTCATCTTTTCTTCGTACCCCTGTAGACGCTCCGCTGATTGCGCTTTCGTGCGCCCTCCTTGTTGTGAAGATTTTCCGGTTGACTTGCCATTTCCGTTCCCACTTTGTTGTTGTTGTTGTGATATACGGTAGAATTTGTTTTTCGTGTTTGTAGATACGGATTGTTCCTTTTTGTTCGCCGAAGACTTGTTACCACTCCCGCCGCTACCACCCTTACCGCCATTAGCCTTCTCACCAGACTTCCCCTTACCTTTAGCCCCCTTTCCGGGTTTTCCACTCTGCGATGCCAATATGACGCCGTAGGTCGCTGAGATTTGCTGATAACCGGGCGGCTGTATTTGCTGTTGTTGTTTATATAATTGTTGTTGCTTTTTACTACTTCCGTTAGCGACATTCAACAATGGATTATTCGCGCTATTCGCGGCTGTGTAAATGGATTTATTCGACTGTGTTGGCAATTTAATGGGAATTTTGACGCCCCCGCCTGGCATGGCGTTGATGGCGCCAACAATGCCAGTTGCTGAATTGCTGCTGCTGCCGCCAATGTTATTGGACGAGATGCGTGGATATTGTGGAGAGTAGATCTGATGGAGGTTCGTTGTGGTGCTCGCCGCATTCGAATTTGGCGTGGTGTTCTCAGCGGAAATGGCGCGGGGCGTCGATACGGGGTCATTGGGGTCTATAGGCAAGGTCGTGCCGTAGAATATTAGCGACCACTCACGTAGTAAGGCGTGACCTTTTCGTCACAATGGTTTAGTGAAATGCACGTGCGTCCGTGTGTGTTCAATTGTTGTTGTTAGTTGTGTAATTGCACGGTTTCATAGTTACAGTTATGATATATTGTTAGCGCAGTGTAGATTTTTTGTTATTTTTTTTTAGTTTTTGGTTTTGTTCGGGATTAGTAACATAATTTAAATTATTTTGATGTTGTCATAATATCACACAAGCGCAGCATGTAAGTAAATGTATAAGTTCGTATAACAGTAAGTGGTTAAGTTATATTAGGCAAGATTAAAAACTATATGGTTCAACTCAGACCAACTTACATACTTATCGTTAAATGTATGGTTTGCATATAAATTGAAGATTTCTGGGGCTGTAATAGCACAGCATGACTTACCCATATAGCGACCCTCGTTGTGTATTTCTAACTGCCAATCGCCATGCGGCGACTCTCCCCAAGTATGGACGGACATGAAGGGCCATTGATTAAAACCAGAACGAGAAACATCATGACTACTGTAAGTATAAAATTATAAACACGATTATTGTCAACATTCATTGCTACCTACATTCTACTTGTAGTCTGAGATGTGTTAGATGATTTATGACTGTCAGAAACATATCGATAAATATTCTAATAAAAATGGTATGAAATAATTATTTGTCTTTAAAACTAAATTATTTTTTGTTTTATATCAAATAATTTGAGCTCAAATGTCGATTATTGGGTTCGCCCAAACTTTGTGGAATAAATTAAATTATTTAATGTCAATACAGAATTTGTTGAGTCTTAACTATTGTTGTGTGGCGATAAAAGTGATCGATAATTACAGATAGTTCGCGTCCTACACATCAAATTTTCTTTTGAAAAAGTTTCATTTCAAAATTCTCCCAATCTTAAAATTTGCTTTTGGAACGGAACTCATAGAAAAATATTAAGAATACATTCTCTAAAATATTCAAAAAAGCCACATTACGCACCCAAATATATTCAAGTACTATCTGCAATTATCAACAGAAACGTTAAATCAACAAAACCTAAACCAACAAAATTTCCAGCAAATATTAAACTCAAATCACCAATAAGTTTAGAAAATTACAGAAATGTCTTTAAGACGATATCAGCCACAACAGAAGAAGCAACCAAGTTATAACGCTAACATAAATGGCGGTGCTAGTTTCCGAACAAGAAACAGCATTGCTGATAATTTAGAAGAATATAATACTCCAGATCCTCACGCAGTGGCTAGTTCCGCCTCTTCCATTACAACGGTATTGCCGGTAGCAGCCACATCTAGCACTTTAACGACGTCGGTAATACCCTCAGGCTCGGCCACAACTTCCCATGCGCCAGCGGTGACCGAGCAAATTGCTAATTTGCTAAATTTGGCGCAACATCTATTGAGCGATGTGCGTGAACAACAACAGCGACAACATCGACGGCGCCACCGCCACCGCCACCGGCGAGAGTCTCGCCTGCTAGCCTGCACGCCATATCAGCGGCCAAATAGAGAGGCGTTTCACACTCCACATGAACATATTGACAGCAATGCGTGTGGGTTTAGCGGTGCAAATGTGAATACCGTTAATATAGGAGAAACATGTGCGGTCACAAATGACAGCGCCAACTCTACTGGTCAACAACAATCGAGACATATACAATTTTGCAAACGCGGCGGCAGCAACATCAACAACAGTGGAACTAGTGAGGATAATATAAATTTTCAATGCGCTATTTGTTTGGATTCGTATCTGTTGCATCGGCCGATGGTCACTCAGTGTGGACATATATTTTGCAAGCGCTGTATAAGGCAGTGTGTCCACTGTCAGGGCAAGTGCCCTATGTGTAATCGTAATTTGAATTCCAAGAGCATGTTTCGGGTGTATTTTTGAGCCTTTTGTATATGCGATTGCTTGGCGAGTTAGCGAGGTGGTAGGTCAGTGAAGGAGCCTGCAGACAACGCAATTTGTATTTTGAAATTTTTGTTGACATTTCTTTGTTAAACATGTTTGTATGTAGGTGCATTTCAATATGTACGACTATGTATGCCTTTTTGGGAAATTTTCTTTTTTAACTTGAATATTTTGTATGTTTTATGTTCATTTAGTGCTAATCTTTACAATACCTCCAATATTTGATTATGTACTATTACACATATATCTACCTATGGAAGTCCAACCAACAAAAAATATACACAATTTGTTTTTAAATTGAAACAATTGATTCCCAATTGCTAAACGACTTTAGACGAACATTTGTTAATTTTTTGTTATTGGTATAGTAAGTATGACTTCTGAAAACTACGAATGGACATTTGAAGATATAAAAAAAATCTTTTATCTGTTTACACGATGGTCAGCGCCGAAGACAACACGACCTCATATTCTACCCATCTAGACTTTTCAGGTGCATTTTTTTAATATTAGCCCTAGATCAACCATTAGTCAAATATTAGCTTATTGGATAGTAGTTAGTCTCTAGCTAGTTAATCTGTTACCGACTTACCGTGATGTTAATAAAGTAACTTTGGTGCCTGCTGGTGACTTGAGGTTCAACTGAATGTCCCCGCGACGTTGTGATGTCAGTGTGATTTTTGCTTGAACATGCTCCAGGTAATAGACGGATGAGCAATGTTTTACAGTTAATTGTAATGTGATATAACTTCTGGGCGGAATGACTCTTTGAAAAGGAAGAAAGAGCGATTTAATACATTTTTAGTGATTGTGAGACCTCAATACATAGTAACGAAAGATCTATGATCCAATTATAAGTTCTTTAAAGCGAAACGCTTCAACATTACTTACTTGTCCACATGTGGCGCATTAATTTCGCAGCGTTGTTGTTCTGGCACTGTTTTCCATTTACGTGCCACTTGCACCATCGCTGCGGCATCCATGAGACCATAGCCGAACGAATGGCTAATGCGTCGACCGACGCCGTTTCTCGACCAGGTTGGATCACGCAAGTTTGCCGGCTTTGCAGTACGCACCACAATATGTTGCAAATCACGCCACGTCAAATTCGTGTTCGATTCGAGCACTAGCGCTGCTATACCGGCAGCCAGCGGCGCCGATGCTGAGGTACCTGTATGTGATACTGTACACGAATGATGCAAGTCTGTCGTCACCACCTGCTTCTCACTCTGTCCGCCACTACTGTACGTGGTCGCCAATGTGGAACTGCATTTCTCCGAATACCAGGGTACGTGACCCTCTTCGGTGGCACTAGATATTGACAGTGTCCAAATGGAGTTTGTATAGCCGTCACAATTACAATTGTCGAACTCACGACCGCCATTACCCGAAGCCCAAATAAATATGCTACCTTTGCCTTGACGCCCTTTAGTAACACCTTCAATGAAGGCGCGCTGCGCCAATTCGCCAGGACCATCAACCGTTTTACCATCATCGTCGGGCCCCCACGACGCGCTATAAATGTCGATGTGATTCGGATTGAGTGATAGGGAGCGCGCCTCGACGGCGTCCGTAACATCGCCATCCAACATTCGGACACCGCCAACACTGGCACCAAATGCAATACCAACCGCACAGATTGAGTTATTGGCGGTGGCGGCCACTTCACCAGCGCAACGCGTACCATGACGATTTGAATCAGTCATGTCGTAGTGTGGCATTGGATCGTTATCGTGGCTGTTGACGTCGTAAGACGCTTCAGGGTCCTAAATGAGGTATTAGTGTTGAGAATGTTGCGATTATTTCATACAAATTGAACTTACATAGTTGTGCTCGATATCTGGATGGTCCGATTCCAGACCGTCATCAAGTATTGTCACCACAATACCCTTGCCGGTGATGCCAGCCTGCCAGGCTGGTACAACATTCATATCCAAGCCGCCACCGCGATTCTACCACCAAAAGCAAACGAGTTTATATATAAGCAAAACGATTGCGAGAGATAGTGGTTTTCCTGCCAGCTGATACTTACCAGATACCACATTTGCGCCCATTTTGGGTCATTTAGAGGAACTGTATCCACCTGTGAGAGCGAACGTGACGATGTCCTTGACGGGCGCATACGTATGTAGTCACGTTTCTGACGCGATTTTGCCTGCTGTTGCTTAGCCCATTGCACTCTGTGATCCTCGTCAAGGCGTGTCTGATGCGGCTGCGAGGGTGTTAGTGAACGCTTTGAGACTTTATGATGAGCGAAATGGTAGTGGTTTTCGAAAATCTGAAAATATAATTAAAAAAGATATCAATAAAAAGTACTGTATGTGCTGCTTTTAGAATAGGCAACCTTTTCGAAATTTAAAAACTTGGCAATTCACTTTTCAAAAACAAAAATTGCTTTGAAGAAAAAACTCAAATTTTTTGGAGAAAATAAATAAGCGAAAATGTCGAACGCTTGGAATAATATTTTGGAGATTTTTCTACTCAAATTACGCAGCTCCAAGCAACTGTCTAGCCTAAAGGACTACTCGAAACAGGTACTGACTAATCGGTTGTTGATAAAACCCGATCTTGGCGATATTTTTAAATCCTCTCTGGCAAGAATGGCTGTGGCAATATTTTTCTTGAATCACAAACGTAAGTTTTAAGAACAAGAACGAATATACTTACATAGTACTAATCAAACACTTCTTCGTCTAAATTTTGCGACCTAGAACCGCGCCGTTTAACTTGCACGGAAAAAGCTGAGAAGCAGGCTAACAAGTCATCTAAGTTAGAGCGAAAGGAGTCAAAGCACTGGTACCCAGATCCAGAATATATGAAACAATTCGAGGGCTGCGTTATAGACGGCCCGGAAACTTCACGCTTCGACCGTTGGGCGGGCAAGACACCCTTACAAATAGATCGCTCTTTTCGTACTAAGTTTATAAACTTTGGACCGGCACATCCAGCAGCACACGGGGTCTTACGCATGGTTTTGCAACTTGATAATGAGACCGTTCTTTCTGCCGATCCACACATTGGCCTGTTGCATCGCGGTACGGAGAAGCTAATTGAAAATAAAATGTACATGCAGGGTCTACCATACTTCGATCGTCTCGATTATGTGTCATGCATGTCGAACGAACTCTGCTATTGCTTGGCTATAGAGAAACTGTTGGGATTGCAAGTGCCGAAACGTGCGCAATACATACGCACAATGTTTTCGGAGATCATGCGTTTAACCAATCATACAGTGGCCTGCGCCACTGCTGTGTTAGATTGCGGCGGCATTACACCACTCTTCTGGATGTTCGAAGAACGTGAGAAGTTGTATGAATTCTGTGAGCGCGTCTCGGGTGCACGAATGCATGCCGCATATATACGACCGGGTGGTGTGGCTTACGATTTGCCACTCGGGTTTTGTGATGATCTTTTCGACTTCATTTGCCGCTTTAAACATCGCATTGATGAATTTGAGGACCTCATCACAGACAATCGCATTTGGCGTATGCGTAATATCGGTATTGGACGCATAACAGCGCATGAGGCAATGAATTATGGTTGCTCTGGCGCGGTCTTGCGTGCTACTGGCGTAAAGTGGGATTTGCGCAAGACACAGCCATATGATGCATATCCGGAAATCGAGTTTGAGGTGCCAGTTGGCGTTAACGGCGACTGTTATGACCGCTACTTGTGTCGTATACGTGAAATGCGGGAAGCATGTAACATAATCAATCAATGTCTCAATCAGTTACCCGCGGGTGAAATTAAAGCGGATGACCATAAAGTCTGTCCACCGAGGAGAAGAATCATGAAGAAAGGCATGGAGGAGCTAATACATCATTTCAAATATTATACACAAGGATTTGCAGTGCCACCAGGCGAAACTTATACAGCTGTGGAATCACCAAAGGGCGAGTTTGGTGTCTATCTGGTATCGGATGGCACTTCAAAGCCATATCGCTGTAAAATTCGTGCGGCAAGCTATCCACATTTGGCTCTGATGAATAAACTAACTTATAATCACTTCTTAGCCGATGCAGTGGCCATTATTGGATCATTAGATATAGTGTTCGGTGAAATCGATCGTTAGAGATTAGATGGTGAGAATTTGAATTAATGATAAAATAGAATTAAAAAAAAATTCAAGTCAATTAATAGAAAGAGTTACGGATAAATAAAAATCATTTGAAATGTATTTATATGAACATTTTTCGAGTATTTCGAAATGATTCATATTCGTGCAGTTCTCAAGTCACAATTCGGTAGGGATCCAGATTTTTGAACTGTTTAAGCGTAATAGGCAAGACGTATTGCCCCCACAGGGCTTATTATGGGGGACTGGTAAACTAATTTATGGTAAGACAGGTGCATTAGGATGGAAGATCCTCTTACTTGGAACGACAGAAATTGCATTCAGTACTTCAAGCGGAATAAAACTGCTGGTTATCTGGTCTAGAAGGAGTTTTGATTACTGGAACACTGCTTCAGGCATATCAATTGACATAATATCAAACTTTTTGATTATATACCAGTGTATGAATGTAGGTTTGTATATAAGTTCTCACTCACATCACCCACGATTAACTTTACAAAGAGATACAATAACAACAACTATGCGTAACAAAGGCTGCTAATTGAAAATAAAAAGTTAAAAATACTTTAAATTGCACTCTGGTTTCGCTATTTATTAGTAAACGCATTTTTCGAAGCATTGCATGTATACGTGAACTTTCAACAATGTGGCAGCACACAGCACCAGCCACAATTAAGTGTCGCTTGTTAATTACTGCTTAACTAATTAAGGGTTAAATGGCTTAATGAGATTTATGCAAGTGCAATAGCAAAAAAAGAAGCTCTCGTCACACTCACGCTCATGAATGCTCCCCTGAATGTAAAAGACAACAAGAAAAAACGTTAACTTCGGTTGCACTGAAGCTATAATACCCTTCACAAATACAAAAGCTTCTTTAGATAAACTTGATTCCGGTCGTTCAGTTTGTATGTAGCTATATGCTATAGTGATCCGATCCGGAGATTCCATTATTGCTGATAATAATGATTCATTTCAAATTTTGTGAAAATATCTCGTCAAATGAAAAAGCTTTTAATGCAAGCACGTATTCTGATCGTTCAGGTTGTATGGCTGTAGTGGTCCGATAACGGTCATTCCGACAAATGAGCAGCTTCTTGGTAAGAAACGTCATATCTTAAATTTAAGACCGATATCTGAAAAACTGAGAGACTAGTTCGCGTATATACAGGCAGACGGGCATGGCTAAATCAACTCAGCTCATCATGCTAATCATTTATGTATATTTCTTTATGTATTTATGTAGGGTCTCCGACGTTACCTTCTGGGTATTACAAACTTCGTGGCAAACTTAATATACCCTGTTTAGGGTATAAAAAAACAACTCTTGGCACATAAATACATATGTGAAAAATGTGAACGCTAGTATAATTAAAAATAAATGCATTAAACAAAAAGTTTGTACAAAGACAAATATGTAAAAAAAAAAATTATAATTGGAAAAATAGCACCCTATGTGGCAACTACAGCACAGCGCCACAGTCATTAAAGCTTCGCTGAAACAGGATATATAAATATGTCACAAGTCAAGCACGCATATTTACGTCCCATTTATGGAAAACTATCTATAAAATATAAAGGACCACTAGACGATGACTACTCGAAGGAAAACGAAAGTCTCCAAACAATCAGCTCTGCCTCTGATCTTGGCTTTTTTCACTATTAGGAACTGTGCTATACTAACGCAATGAGTTTATAGATATAAACAATTAAGTAGCACTCTTATCTGTTAATGGTTCGTAATCAACATGAACCAAGGAGAAGAGGAGAAATTAAAAACAAAACCTCTTTATCACAACATTACTTTTAAATCCCCAAAAAATATTCCTATTCGGCCACACATGTTTCCACATACACACCCACTTAAGCGAAAAAAGCGATTAACTAAATTAAAATGAGTATTTATGTTCATTTGTAAAATTAATTTATAATTAAGTGAATTTATGGCCGCCAACACAATTAAGCGAGACAGGTGTAATGAAAGTGCGCTAAGTGTGCACAGGAACATATGTATGTACATGCATATTCGTACATAACTCACTAATGAACATGCACGGCACAAGAGAGACATTAACATTATATTTTGCATATATTTAGGCGCTTTGGCAATTTATGTTTTAATTGAAATTCCAGATTTTTTGCTATTGTAATTTCATATTTATATTCATGACACAATGTCATTTTTTAAAACATACTCGTACATATATATTAGGGTGGAGCGAAAAAATATACTTTATTTTTGCTTAGCCGGATTTGTAGATTATAAATAAATTATAGTTTCAAAAACTAAAAACACACGCTATAAAGGAATTTTTAAACCTCCTACCATAAAGCTCTTTCCTACCATCTTGTTTGTGAAAATTAATGCTTATCGCGCATTTATTTCGTCAGTTATCGCACTTTTAGTATATTTTAACATAACTGGTATTTGGGGGGTAGGCGTGGTTAGATTTTGCCCATTTTCAAAGCGTATGAAAAAGGGCTAAAAGGACTTCCTCCATTTGGTTTTAGCGGTTTGAAAGATATATACATTAAACCGGAGTGTTTACGCCCACCTTTGAAGTAATGAGAAACTGTTATCAAATTATTGCATTGTCATCGGTCCTTGACACGTCTGCAAAGTTTCAAGTTGAAAATTGAGATATAAGATTCCATTACATACATACATATAAAAAAGAAAATTTTAGAAAAAAAAATTTTTTTTTATCAATATTTTTAAAAAAAAAAAATAAATTGTAGCCTCAGGCTAAGCAAAAAAAAAATTTTCGCTCAACCCTAATACATGTGTATGGTATATAAATATATATAATATCACGAAAGCTACAACTTTGCCTCTTGCTTGGTTTGTCCAACACGTGAACAGTGGAAGATGTGAGAAACCATCTTGGCAACTGACAATACAACAAGCAAGCAAGGCTCAAGCTCAAACTGAAACGTTACTCTTCCCAATTTAATAGTTTTGCGTTTATGAGTGTTTATATTCTATTACAGGACATCTGAGAAAAATAACAATGGTAAAAGTGTACTCGTATGCTTGTACGAGTGTACATATGTATATTCCCCGAAACTGGTTGGCCTTTCCACAAGCAGTTGTTACGTGCAAAATGCATTATACCGTTTGCAATTCCAATATCCTTGCTGCTTAAAACACGATGCACACAGTGATAGTTCAGCACTTATCCGTTTCCTTTTCCGCTGCTATTGCC